TTCCGCTTCGGGGGACTGGCTGGGCCCAGTCCTCTCTGCCAAACCTCGTTTAAAAACCTTGATAATTTCGAAAACTGAAATTTTAGTGGACCTGGAAATTGTAAAAGGAAAAAAAAAAATATTCAAAAAACAACATGGTTTTTCAGGGGTTAAAAAAAAAAAAAAATTTTCAAAAAAACGGGGAAAAAAAATTCAAAAAGCAAAATAAAATTTCTAAATCTAAATGACCCACAAAAAAAAAAAAAAATCTTCATAGAACCGGCCGCCTTTTTCTGAATAAGTCAAAGAATCGTAGGGGGGGGACTTTGCTGTTTACAACTCTTCTTTTTTTGGTCAACTCTTCTTCCCATTCCCGGGGGGGGGGGGGACCATACCAAATATATTTTTTACCCCCACCCATTTTTAAGGGTTATTTTGTTTTTCAAGCGGTTTTATTTATGTTTATAAAGCGGCAGAAGGGGGGGGAGGCTATTGCATAAACAGTTAAAGCAGGAAAGTTTAAAAAAGTACTTTTCATAATTAAAAAAAAAAAAATAAAAAAAAAAAAAAAAAAAAATATTTTTTTTCTCGGGCCCAATTCAGGAGGGCATTGGGGATATTAAAAAAGGTTATTTTACTGGATTTTATTACTAATCTAAATAACACGAAAAACACATAGCAAAAGGTGGGGGAAAAAAAAATATTACCCCATGTTTCATAGGTTGTTTTTATTATAGAAAAAATAAAAAAAAAACCATGGTTTTTTATTTAAGGATTGCCCCCTTTTAAACACCTAATTTAGTTGGGCCCCCTACATACATGTCAAAGGCCGTCTTTTTTCCATTTCTTTAAAACAACTGCAAAAAAAAATCAAAAACGTATGGAAGAAAAAAAATGGTTTAATTGCAATATTACTTGTTTTTATTGTTTTTTTCACCCAAAAAAAATACATTTTCCCAACAAAAGTTGTTGCTTGCATTATTTCAAATTAGTTAAAAAAAAGGCCAATAAAACAATATTTAAAACAATTTAGATTATTTTAAATGTAGGCAAAGCCCATGCAAAAAACTAAAGCAGAAAAATAATAATTGCCCCAGTTATTTTCATCCATTTAGTTGGCCAACTATTATTTGGGGGACTATAAAAACAAACAGTAAAGTCCACAGAAAATTAATAAAAAACTTACAAATGGACCACATAAAAAACCCAAAAAATGAAACCGGGGGGGGACTACCTACATTAAAAAATAAAAAAACATTAATTATGCTGTGTGTGTGTTTTTTGGGAAGGGATGCATGTATTTGTGTGCTTACATCTAAAAGTGTGTCATTTTTGTTTAGTTTTCCAGTGAGCGCTGTGACGATGGGACTTGCTTGGGGCTTCCTTTGGATAGTAATTAAGTGATAGTTGGTAGCAGTGGCCTTGGGTCTGCTTGCTATCTAATCTTAATCTTATAATTACAATCAAGGGCTTTAGGAGACAATACTTTACCGCCTATCTCTCTTCATTTTTCCTTTTCCTCCCTTGTTCCGGTTGTGTTGTGTGGGGAGGGAGTTAGCGGTAAACGGGGTGTCTCTTAATAGCTGATGAAAGATAGATTAGATCTACAGGGAGCAAAAGCAAGGAAACCAGGCACTTTTTTGCCAACCACTATTAACTTAATACTTTTCAAGGAAGCCCAAGCCCCCCCAAAGGTGTTAATCGTCCCCCCACCAGGGGGCTCACTGAAAAAACATAAAAACAAAAATGGGGGGGGGAACCACCCCCCATGCGTAGAATGTTAAAAGCCACAACAAATTTTACATGCATTTGCTTCTAAAAAAACACCATACACAGCAATTTAATTTTTTTTTTTATAATTTTATGTTAAATGTAGTCCTGTTCATTTTTTGGGTTTTATTGGGTGTTGTTTTTATTTGTTCCAGTTTATTAATATCTTGTGACTTCTGTTATTGTGTTCAAAATTAATCGTTGCCAACCTAAATGGAGGGAATAATGGGGCATTTCTTTTCTGGCGGTAGTTTGCCATTTGGGGCTCTAAATTTAAATATCTAAATGTTTAGAAAAATATATTTGGTTATTTGCCTTTCTTATTTGAAAAAATCAAGCAACACCTTTTGGTGGGATGTTTGGCTTGTGTACAATTGAAAAAACTATACAATTTTTTGGCAATTAAATCATTTTATCATTTTTCGGTTTTTTGGCAAGTTTTATAGGGATGGGGAAGGGACGGCTTTGACATGTTTGGGGAGGGGCCAACCTAAAATAGTGGTGTAAAAAGGGGGGTATCATATTTAAAAAAAAAAAAAACATGGTTTTTTTTTTTCTTTTTAAATAAAAAAAAAAACCACACTTTATGGGGGGGGGGAACATGTAATTTCCCCACCTTTTGCTATGTTGTTTTTCGTGTTGTTTTTTTTTAGAATTTTAGTTTAATAAATCAGTAAAAAAATAACTTTAATATCAATGCCTCTGGAATTGGCCAGGGGAAAAAAATTTATTGGAAGGGTACTTGTAGCTCCTGCTTTTTGTTTATGGCCATTGGTCTTGCTGCCGCTTAAAAAAATAAAAATAAAAAAAACCGATTTGGAAAAACAAATAAAAAAAAACCTTGTAAAAATGGGGGTGTTAGTTTTGTTATGGGACCGGGGGATGGGAAAGAAAATGTTATACCAAAAGGAAGAAGTGTTAAAAAACAAGACAGGTCCATACGATCTGTTGGACTTTAATTCAGAGGGGAAAGGCGACGGGTTATGGAAGATTTTTGTGTTCCATTCGGATTTAGGAAAATTTTTTTTTGCTTGAATTTTTTTCGGTTTTTGGAAAAACAATTTTTTTGTAAAAGCCTGGGGAAAAAAAAAAAAACCATGTTGGAAATTATTTTTTTTTCTTTACATTTTTTCAGGTACACTAAAAAAAAATTCAGTTTTACGAATTTTCCAAGGTTTTTTTACGGAGGTTGCAGGAGGTAGGGGGGGACTGGGCCAGGGCCCAGTCGAGGGCGGGGGAGGGACCTCGGGACGGACCCCAGTACGGCAACACCCAAACAATTCTTGGGCTGTGGGACGTTGTGGGGAACGGGGTTTCAACCTCCACTGGGGGGGGAAGGAAAGCCCGAGCTTGTGGGGGCGGGTTTGGGGAGCCGGAATTTACGGAACTATAAGATAGTCGGCCTCCACATCCCCACCACAAAGGCTTGGGCTTGGAAAAAAAACCCCAAACTCTTGAGGAGGGGTTTGGGACGCTCAACTTTTTTTCTTGGTTGTTTCTTCGCCGGGGGGGAGGGTGGGAAGGGCGGCGTGAAAAGCTGGGGTGTGGCCCATACTCATTGCCCCCCCTATCTTTTTTCAGCCGGCACCCACTCGGTTTAGAGTTTTTCCCGGGTTGGGGGAAATTGAGGGGAGGGGGTCGCGTCCCCCTCCACCTCGGGGGGGGGGGGGAACAAAAAGGTCTTTCACTGTTTGTGACGGGTGCCCTACGGCGTTAGAAAACAAAACAAGCAGTTGGCAGAGTACTCGGGCCTTCTTGGGCGAGTCCTTTGGGGAGGGGGGTATGGCCGGGTTGCACCGGCCCGGGGGACTCCGTCATTCCTCTGGGGGGGTGACTTTTTACGCCCTTGTGGGGGGGGGAAGCCGCCAAGTGGACCGAGCTATCTGTAAGGGGCTGGCGAGCTACCTGTAAGGGGCTGGTGAGCTATCTGTAAGGGGCTGGGGAGCTACCTGTAAGGGGCTGGCGAGCTATCTGTAAGGGGCTGGCGAGCTATCTGTAAGGGGCTGGCGAGCTACCTGTAAGGGGCTGGCGAGCTATCTGTAAGGGGCTGGCGAGCTACCTGTAAGGGGCTGGCGAGCTATCTGTAAGGGGCTGGCGAGCTACCTGTAAGGGGCTGGCGAGCTATCTGTAAGGGGCTGGCGAGCTACCTGAAAGGGGCTGGGGAGCTACCTGACAGGGGCTGGCGAGCTACCTGACAGGGGCTGGCGAGCTACCTGACAGGGGCTGGCGAGCTACCTGACAGGGGCTGGGGAGCTACCTGACAGGGGCTGGCGAGCTACCTGACAGGGGCTGGCGAGCTATCTGTAAGGGGCTGGCGAACTATCTGTAAGGGGCTGGGGAGCTACCTGTAAGGGGCTGGGGAGCTACCTGTAAGGGGCTGGCGAGCTACCTGTAAGGGGCTGGCGAGCTATCTGTAAGGGGCTGGCGAGCTATCTGTAAGGGGCTGGGGAGCTACCTGTAAGGGGCTGGTGAGCTATCTGTAAGGGGCTGGCGAGCTATCTGTAAGGGGCTGGCGAGCTACCTGTAAGGGGCTGGGGAGCTACCTGTAAGGGGCTGGCGAGCTATCTGTAAGGGGCTGGCGAGCTATCTGTAAGGGGCTGGCGAGCTATCTGTAAGGGGCTGGCGAGCTATCTGTAAGGGGCTGGGGAGCTACCTGTAAGGGGCTGGTGAGCTATCTGTAAGGGGCTGGCGAGCTATCTGTAAGGGGCTGGCGAGCTACCTGTAAGGGGCTGGGGAGCTACCTGTAAGGGGCTGGCGAGCTATCTGTAAGGGGCTGGCGAGCTATCTGTAAGGGGCTGGCGAGCTACCTGTAAGGGGCTGGCGAGCTATCTGTAAGGGGCTGGCGAGCTATCTGTAAGGGGCTGGCGAGCTACCTGTAAGGGGCTGGTGAGCTATCTGTAAGGGGCTGGCAAGCTACCTGTAAGGGGCTGGGGAGCTACCTGTAAGGGGCTGGCGAGCTATCTGTAAGGGGCTGGGGAGCTACCTGTAAGGGGCTGGCAAGCTATCTGTAAGGGGCTGGCGAGCTACCTGAAATCTTCTTTTTCTGGTGTGAAAGTAGCTCCAGCTTCGAGACACGGTGGAGTCCTTCCGGTGATAAAAGTAGAAATAAAAAGCGTGTGTCCCAAACAGACGTGTGCGCATTAACGCCTCTGGATCTTTTGTTTGGACGTGGAACAGACCGTATTCATGCAAAGTGCCAAAACATTTATCCGGCTGTTTTATGTGAGCGCAGGTTTGTACTCACACATACTTCAGCAGAACTGCCTGGACTTCCATCCCTGAGGAGTTCCATCTGCAGGAGGGAGCCAGCGGATCTACACACACACACAGACACACACACAGACACACACACACACACACACAGACACACACACACACACAGACACACAGACACACACACAGACACACAAAGTTACAAGTCATATATATAGAGAGGCATCACAAGAGACAAGAAGCAATGGTAAGTTATGGAAACGATTGCGGGGAGACTTGGAGATAGTTGTGATTACCGATGGACGTTCAGAAATCCGCAGAGAGCGCAACTGCTTTTGTTTTCTCCAACGCCTACGCCGCCTACGCCACGCAATGGACGCTCATGAAGCATGAAGCAGCCGATACGTGCTCGTGGTAGATGTACATGTATTTTTTCCGTACAGTGATGAAGAATCCATACTCACGTTAATCGCTAGATCAAAACAAAACCACGCCATTAATTGATATTAAGGCGTTTAACTGACAGCACCAATGATAACCTTTTATTCGTCCATCAGAGTGGAAATGTCAGCACATTAAAAAAGATTTAACAGCACTCAGGATATGTGCACTTCAAACCAGATCTAATACTGAAGAGGGATAGTGAAGCAATAACATATACAGGCTGAAGCTAATATCGAACCACTTCACTGTAGGAAAGGAAAGGAATTCCCAATACAATCTAAATAAATTGATTATTTGAAAAAATAAAATAAAAATCATTACAGCCCCTCCCCTTGTGATAGGGAGATATATATAATCTCTAATCTGCCTAAAGCCATACTGAGCTCACCAGTCAGAGTTGGCTTGTTCTGGTTGTGAGAACAGCTGGATTTCTGCTTAGGTTCCTGGGTCATAAAAATTTGACACTGCCTCAAAGTGTAAAACAAATATTCAATCAACTTGGCGTTTATTTATCCCAAAACGGAAGTGCTTTCTGACAGCTGTGTACGGAACAGAGCGGAGGTGGAGGGCTGCACCTCAGAGTGAACTATGAGCCAACTACATATGTATGCATTATCTGGTAATAATAATAATAATAATAATAATAATAATAATGCTAATAATGAGTGTATTAGGTGATGCCTTCTCATGCTTCATGTGTTTGTACATTTCTATGGACGGTGGACAGCAGTTTGAAGAGCTCTAGTCTGCCAAGCTTAATGCTATTACCAGATAAAAGCCATGATTACCATCGTGGCTAATGGCGATCCCAGGACATTATGGATTTTTCCTCCTGACATTAAGCCTATATAATCAGTATCCCAAATGCTCGCTTGCCATTGCTTGGAAACTGTCTTGATCGATGCAGAAATACCATTCATCACCACAGAAACAAGTGAAGTAGGCAACTGCGAGAAATTTATTTGGTAGAACTTGAACAATTTGAACATAAGCAGAAGTCAATTTCCTTATATGGGCATTTCTTTCCGCTTTCATAGCTTGCAAACCTGTTGTTTTTTTGTAAGCTATAGATTCCTCTGCGAATGAAGGCATCTGATTGGTCGATCCTGATTACTCATATCTGGATTGACAAAGACAATATCAAGCCCAAACTGGTGAGTGTGTGTGTGGGTTGAGCAGTAGTAGATTATTTGTGTAACTCAACTTCAAACATGAAAAACCAAATTATATTCAATGTGACAAATGCCTGATTGGTTAAGGCTTAAAGTCCCATTTCGAGATGTTTTAATTGGGTTTTGAGAAGCTGTGAGCCAATTATCAACATTCCATCCATCCATTTCTTCCCCTTAATCCATGTCTGGGTTGGGGGGGTGGCAGTCAGAGCCCCAGCCCCTCACTGATCCTCCTGCAGGTGCTGAGTCCACAGGAGCTGAGATCTTTCAGTGGGGGCTTCAGGCAAAGTGGGGTTAAGTGTCTTGCCCAAGGACACAACGACAGCAGACATCAGTGGGAGTCGTGAAGAAGGTCTTATCCATTTATCCACATTGTAACCAACAAAACAACACTTTATATAATGAGTCTCAAAGTTGAATTACAAGTACATGGACTTCTGAACAATATTCTAACTTTCTTATTCTACACTGCGTATTATTCAAGGCAACTGTCAACAATATAGCGTCGGCCATCTCTGCGATTCTGATCACGACTTCATATACCACGCATACATACATACAGTATTCATTTCAGGGGAATTAGTTGCAGAAATACATGTTGTGGTGTTTATGAATGCATGAAACTGCTGCTACACACGTGAGCTTCAGAGCTGCCTGAAAACGCCAACTCTACACTTTCCCCACATTCAGATTCTGACATCATCCGCGCTCCTGTCTTCGCTGTGGGCCCTTTTGTGCTAAAACAACGCCGTATGAAAGATATGGAAATGATGAAAAGATGAAAGAAGTATTCAAAGAAAAAAATCTCCTTTTGAGGCTTAATATAGTGAGACCAGAAATGAGTTGTGGATCAATAAAAGCTTGGAAACGTATGAGCGCAACAAAAGTGTGAAACCGTAGGAGCTTGGTGAGCGGAGATCGATCTTGAACTCTGATGTGAACTCTCAGAGACGCAGAGTAGATTACGGCGCCGCTATAACGAGCCGCGGCTTCTAAGCGTTAATTAAAGAAGCTGTAATAAGTCCAGGTTTTTCACATGTGGTTTTGAGAGCTGTGAGGTGCAGACAATTACTAAAATTCATGTCGAAATATGATTAATCTCAGAGCAGGGTGTGTAGCTTCTCACTGTTTGTATTAACAGTAAAAAGATAGACCCTCAGCGAAAAATGTCTAAAAATAACATGCACTGTAACAAATATCTGTAAACGACATTTCAACATTAGACAAATGTTATTTTGAAAATCAATTCAAACATGCACATTTAGGTATAAATTGGTTAAAAAACATCCAGTGGCGTTTTAATACCACAATTATAATTACAAAAGAAACATAAAAACACATGTTATTACCGTAATTTAACTGGTTGCATTTTTGGAATGCTGTAAACTCCTGCTTTTGTTAAAAAATATGCTTTTGTTGTTATAGAAGTAAAGATATTAAAAAATAATTGAGAAGTTGTGTTCATTAAAGGAAAACTAAATTAAACTGTAGTGTTTTGTTCAATGAAACTAATTAGAAACAGAAACATATGGTGTAATAAATTAACATTAAAATTCTGTTTTTGTTGTAGTGAATGAAGCATTAGCAACATTAGCAACGGTAATGCCATGTTGAGAAAACGGTAAATCCCTGGAACCATTTTTGCCAGATTTTTACCGTTTTTCTACAAGGACATTTTTTACAGTGTAGTGGCACGTAAATAACACCACATTGATCCTGGACTGAGGAATGACCAGCACAGGACTGAGCTAATATCACGTACTTCTGGCACAAACCCGTCTAAATGTCCCTTCTGTTTAAATGTGCAAATCGCAAACTAGTTTTTGACAAATCCTTGAGCTTGACGTCATGGATTTGGAGAGTTTTCTGCTTTTGAAAACAAAGATATCGCCACAAAGGATTTTCCTTTCTTACAACTGCGCAAGTTAGATTTTGACAAAAAAAAGCAGCATGTAATTCCTCACTACTACCACTAGATGGAGACACTATATGTAAACGTGAACATTTTGGGACGGCTATTTAACACATTGTTGTTTTTTTTTCAACGCTGCCTTATTGTTTCAGACTAGCATTTTTAGTTTCCTGCTTCACTCTAATATTCTTAATTTTATCCTGCAATTCTTTTATGGTTTCACGATCAAAACATGAAACGCCAGTGATGAAAGTAAGTAAATAAGTAAGTCAGTTATCTATATATTTTTTTTTTAAGAAGAGTTTTTCCTTGCTGATGTGGGAGGATGAACGGACAGTGGTGAAAATCCAGGACACACACCTTTCAACATTATTTATAGATATTTATCAACAATAATGGACATCTGCCCCGCCCCTTATGGACCTATGCGTTTTTCTACCATTGCATTTCTTATGTTTGAACGGTTTGATTCTCTGATCTGTGTTTCCGTGAATTCAACGGTTTTGTCAAGTCCTCCCAGAAAACTATACTGATTTAGGGCTGTAAAAGAATAAATCGAACTGAAAATTGAATATAGGGAATTTTACCAACCAATGTCACCGAAGCGTTTTTTTTTACAATGTTAAGATCTCCTCAAAAATAAACGCAAATAATGCACAGAGATGGTGTCAAAGCCGAGCTGTGATGACGTCATGCTGGTGCGAGGCGGCGGATGGGCGGGTGCAGTGAGTGGGTGGTCTGTGGGGGGCCGCGGTGCAGGTTACCTGGGCGTGGAGCGAGGAGGGGTAGGTGAAAGCAGGAGGGAGGGCCGGGGACAGCTCGGCCGGGTACAGCGGGTATGAGGCCCACACGTCGGGGCTGCTGGGGTACAGAGCGGGCACTGTGAGCTCATCTGTGGAGAGAAGAAGGAGGAGTGCGGTGAGGAGGGGGCCGTGGAGGAGGAGGTGAGACAGAGGTGAGACAGAGGTGAGACAGAGGTGAGACAGAGGTGAGACAGAGGTGAGACAGAGGTGAGACAGAGGTGAGGCAGAGGTGAGACAAAGGTGAGACAGAGGTGAGACAGAGGTGAGACAGAGGTGAGACAGAGGTGAGACAGAGGTGAGACAGAGGTGAGACAGAGGTGAGACAGCGGTGAGACAGAGGTGAGGCAGAGGTGAGACAGAGGTGAGACAGAGGTGAGACAGAGGTGAGACAGAGGTGAGACAGAGGTGAGGCAGAGGTGAGACAGCGGTGAGACAGAGGTGAGGCAGAGGTGAGACAGAGGTGAGACAGAGGTGAGGCAGAGGTGAGACAGAGGTGAGACAGAGGTGAGACAGAGGTGAGGAGGAGGTGAGACAGAGGTGAGACAGAGGTGAGGAGGAGGTGAGACAGAGGTGAGACAGAGGTGAGACAAAGGTGAGACAGAGGTGAGACAGAGGTGAGACAGAGGTGAGACAGAGGTGAGACAGAGGTGAGGCAGAGGTGAGGCAGAGGTGAGACAGAGGTGAGACAGAGGTGAGGAGGAGGTGAGACAGAGGTGAGGAGGAGGTGAGACAGAGGTGAGGCAGAGGTGAGACAGAGGTGAGACAGAGGTGAGGAGGAGGTGAGACAGAGGTGAGACAGAGGTGAGGAGGAGGTGAGACAGAGGTGAGACAGAGGTGAGGCAGAGGTGAGACAGAGGTGAGACAGAGGTGAGACAGAGGTGAGGAGGAGGTGATACAGAGGTGAGGAGGAGGTGAGACAGAGGTGAGACAGAGGTGAGACAGAGGTGAGACAGAGGTGAGACAGAGGTGAGGCAGAGGTGAGGCAGAGGTGAGGAGGAGGTGAGGCAGAGGTGAGGAGGAGGTGAGACAGAGGTGAGACAGAGGTGAGACAGAGGTGAGGCAGAGGTGAGACAGAGGTGAGGAGGAGGTGAGACAGAGGTGAGACAGAGGTGAGACAGAGGTGAGACAGAGGTGAGGAGGAGGTGAGACAGAGGTGAGACAGAGGTGAGACAGAGGTGAGACAGAGGTGAGACAGAGGTGAGGCAGAGGTGAGGCAGCGGTGAGACAGAGGTGAGGCAGAGGTGAGACAGCGGTGAGACAGAGGTGAGGCAGAGGTGAGACAGAGGTGAGACAGAGGTGAGACAGAGGTGAGACAGAGGTGAGACAAAGGTGAGACAGAGGTGAGACAGAGGTGAGACAGAGGTGAGACAGAGGTGAGACAGAGGTGAGACAGAGGTGAGACAGAGGTGAGACAGAGGTGAGGAGGAGGTGAGACAGAGGTGAGACAGAGGTGAGGAGGAGGTGAGACAGAGGTGAGACAGAGGTGAGACAAAGGTGAGACAGAGGTGAGACAGAGGTGAGACAGAGGTGAGACAGAGGTGAGGCAGAGGTGAGGCAGAGGTGAGACAGAGGTGAGACAGAGGTGAGACAGAGGTGAGGAGGAGGTGAGACAGAGGTGAGGAGGAGGTGAGACAGAGGTGAGGCAGAGGTGAGACAGAGGTGAGACAGAGGTGAGGAGGAGGTGAGACAGAGGTGAGACAGAGGTGAGGAGGAGGTGAGACAGAGGTGAGACAGAGGTGAGGCAGAGGTGAGACAGAGGTGAGACAGAGGTGAGACAGAGGTGAGACAGAGGTGAGGAGGAGGTGATACAGAGGTGAGGAGGAGGTGAGACAGAGGTGAGACAGAGGTGAGACAGAGGTGAGACAGAGGTGAGACAGAGGTGAGGCAGAGGTGAGGCAGAGGTGAGGAGGAGGTGAGACAGAGGTGAGACAGAGGTGAGACAGAGGTGAGGCAGAGGTGAGACAGAGGTGAGGGAGGAGGAGGTGAGACAGAGGTGAGACAGAGGTGAGGAGGAGGTGAGACAGAGGTGAGACAGAGGTGAGACAGAGGTGAGACAGAGGTGAGGAGGAGGGGCTGCACCATTCGTCGCAATCAATACATGTGTTTTTGAAAGTCGCAGATCACAAAGACTGTAGTTATTTTAAAAATGGACAAAGATCAATTTGGAAAAATGTCTCCCCATGGCACCCAACTCCCTATGTCTCCCCATGGCACCCAACTCCCTATGTCTCCCCATGGCACCCAACTCCCTATGTCTCCCCATGGCACCCAACTCCCTATGTCTCCCCATGGCACCCAACAACTCCCTATGTCTCCCCATGGCACCCAACAACTCCCTATGTCTCCCCATGGCACCCAACAACTCCCTATGTCTCCCCATGGCACCCAACAACTCCCTATGTCTCCCCATGGCACCCAACAACTCCCTATGTCTCCCCATGGCACCCAACAATTCCCTATGTCTCCCCATGGCACCCAACAACTCCCTATGTCTCCCCATGGCACCCAACAACTCCCTATGTCTCCCCATGGCACCCAACAACTCCCTATGTCTCCCCATGGCACCCAACAACTCCCTATGTCTCCCCATGGCACCCAACAACTCCCTATGTCTCCCCATGGCACCCAACTCCCTATGTCTCCCCATGGCACCCAACAACTCCTTATGTCTCCCCATGGCACCCAACAACTCCCTATGTCTCCCCATGGCACCCAACAATTCCCTATGTCTCCCCATGGCACCCAACAACTCCCTATGTCTCCCCATGGCACCCAACAACTCCCTATGTCTCCCCATGGCACCCATGGCACAAAATGAAATGTTGGCAAATGTGACAAATAAATGTCATCTCTGATCAATAAACTTTATCTTATCTTAAATGTCTCTTGATCTTTCGTCTTGTTGTCAGCATTAAACAATTACAATAACAGTGAGAACAGGGCTGTATGTAATGTTTTATTTTTACAATACAACAGATAATAGATACGAGAGAAGAATGTGTCTTTCTGGATTTACAATAGGTTAGAACTCAAAAATGATCTTCTGAAGCGCATGGGAAATTATTTTGAAAGAGTAACTTATTAACAGAATATATAAAATCGCATAGCAACCGTTCCGTGTTAGTCAGAAATATCTAAATTGCTAAAATGGTGCAGCCCTCGGTGCGTTTCGAGGCAGAAAACAGGTGATTTCAGTGAGTGCAGAAGGAGACAGAAGCCAGGGAGCTCGGTCCTGATGATTTTAAATAAACAAAACCAAATTATATAGTTTAAAGATGTGTTTTGCTTTTTCCAATCAAACCAATACTTTGCATTCTTAGAAATATAAAAATTTAACATTCAGCCAACCAAATAGAAGAATTACTGCATGACTCTAGGACACTGTCTTGTTTTTCTCTTTTAACAATATTTTAATCAAGAATTCTACAACATTATGACCCAGCGTCTACATAACCTGATCTAAAATCTAAAATCTGTCAAAACAACACAGTCAGCTAATTGCGTGGGAAACAAACATTACAACATTTTTAAAAGCTCAAGTTGTAATTTCACCGTCTTTAAAACTCAGAATCCAAATCAGATTACCGCCCAATTTTCAGAAACATTTCCCCTTCGTTCTAACACGTCTCCGGGTAACAAATAATCCAGGCTCCATCAGAAAAATCAGGAAATGACAGCAATTTCTCTCCCTCGGATTACGTCACTGTCTTCATTAATGGTTTCCTTCCCAGCCGCACACACACACACACACACGCACACGCACACGCACACGCACACGCACACGCACACGCACACACACACACACACACAGATAAGAGCGGCCTGGTCATCGCTCTGGAATGCACAACCACAGCTGGCCTATGTTCAACCAACGATGGCTGTTTCTCGCTAAATACTTAACCACTTGAAAAATGTTTAACTTAATGGGGGGGAAAGGTACAAGGCTGTATTAGCAACGTTCACATGCTAGCTCAGACTACACAGCAATGATTAATCTGGGTCCAATAATGTAAAGCTGGTGGCCTCAGTGGAGATGTTATTGCTTTGCCTCGGGTGTAGCATGAGCCGCGATGCTAAAGTCAGCTCTGGGTAGAATTAGGTCCAATTATCGTTGTAAGAATACACATTTTCTCATGGTATTTTTAAGCTCCCGAATTACATACATGCAAGATACAGAGAGATCATTATAAGCAAAGACATGACATCTTACGGAGAAAATATTGTTTTGTTACTGTTCCAGCCAGATGGTTTAAATATGGACAAAATGGATTAGCTGAAATATTATTAGAGTGGGATGTCTGTTTGTGGATTGTAAAAGTACTGATCTTTACAATGTCATGTTTTTGAAAGACCACAACAAAGGTAAAAACATATAACTGTAAACTGAAAGCAAAATTATTAATAATAATAATAATAATGCATCGGTTTTATATAGCGCTTTTTTGACACGCTTCACATGTGTCATTATTCATTCACTCCATACACGGTGGTGATAAACTACTACTGTAGCCACAGCTGCCCTGGGGCACACTGACAGAAGCGAGGCAACCAGTATGTGCCCCCCCCGACCACCACCAACCATTCACACCAGACTCATTCTAGGCAATGGGGGTGAAGTGTCTTGCCTAAGGACACAACAGCAGTTTGGCACTTTACAGCCGCAGCCGCCCCACTGTGACACCTGCTGTTCCCAGAGGTTAAGTGTCTTGCCCAAGGACACAACGACAGTAGTCAGTGGGAGTCGATGGTGAGTGTCTTGAGCGGGGCTTGAACCCACGACCTTCTGGCTCAAAGGCCAACGCTCTACCAACTGAGCTACTGCCGCCCATTAGAGCTGTCAAAATTATCGCGACGCACGTTAATTTTTTTTTTTTCATTCATTACGCGGCGCCGCAACGTGAAAGACCTTCCACACACGCACAGAACTACTCTCCGCTTGTTGTGTCTTTGTGTAACCGGTGCGTAACACACCTGTGAAGCCGAACAATGTGTCTCCGCCCGCTTCCAAACTAAACTCGCTAAATTAAAGCTGAGGTACCTAGTTTTTCCACAGCCTTTATGAGACAGAGAAAAAGAAGAAAGAGGAGGCTTTAGCTGAAGCGGATTACAGTATGTCAATAATGTGAATGCCATTTAACAAATACATTTATCTTTCCATCCAAACAACCATTTACAGAAAAATATGGCATCATTTTGCTGATAGTTTGAAATGCGATAAACTACGATTAATAAATGTTTATGCTGTAATTAACTCGATAAAAAAATAGTAATCGTTTGACAATCGTTAATGGCTTTTTAACATCACGGCCAGGGGACTACAGATGAAAAATAGCCTCCTTGGCTAATTCTGGCTTTTTTAACCCCTGTTTTATCATGTGTTTTATTAAATTGCATTGTCCCCTTTCAAAGAAACTAAACTGAAACTGAAACAGCCCTAAAAATTATATATATTTTCAAAATCATGAAATCCCTACGGGTATAAATACAGTATACATTTCGTATTTTATTTTTTCTGTTTCAATTTCAGTTTTCCTTTTGATTGAGGTCAGGACTTTGACTGGGCCGTCCAAAAAAGTCAGTTGTGAAAAATGTGCAACACTTTCAGTACTTTTGTAACCCACTGCGGTGTCGGAACAGCAGTGGGTTGCAATGTTGAAAATATAGCAATATGTTACAAAGCATCTGTGATATCAAACTGTGCTTTAAAAGAATTTCAATGTGCTTAGGCCTATCACAAAACATGTCTCTATTTAAAATACAGGATTTAGTGAAAAATAAAAACGCAACAGTGTCAAACCTCTATAATCAGGGACGGATCAAATACTTAAAGTCCCTGTTCCTGTTCTCAAATGCTTCAACAAAATGAGTTATGTCTCAGTGCACATATGTCTTTTTTCATAGTGAGAGTAGCATGCTAATGTGGCTAAGTCGACTATTCTTTAAAAAAAAATACTTAAAAAAAACTAACTCTAGCTAATGTAGCTTACTTGGGTTGACTCTGGCTAATGTGGCTAAAATGAGATAATTTTTGTTAATGTGGCTAGCTTGCGACAAATCTGGCTAATGTGACAAACTAGCTAATCCTTGCAAATGTGGCTAACTTGCTCTTGCTAGCATTAATGGTAACTAGTGATGAACCCTGTTAATTTTGTGGAAAAGATGCTTCTAATAATTAGCATCAGAAAAATAATGTATATAAAATGATAAGGAAAACGTTATGACTGCCACAAACTGTTAGCAATTTAATCTAAAATATATTTGTTTTCCTTCGCCAATTTGGTCAAAATACTCAATATGTTACTGTTTACGCAGCAGAGTGAGTTATGGAGCAGCCATAAAACACCAAGATTTGGAAGTATAACCGTTTCATCTTCCTGCCAACACATCACAATAAACAAGCAAAAACCCAAGATACACAAGATGCTATTAATACAATTCTCCTGAAAGATAATGGCTCTCTGATGAACAGCCACTTTTTATAGCCCCCTGTCCTCGGATTAATTTCACCTCGCAGCTGGAAGACCAAAATAAAACCACAACAGCTGGTCTAAGAAAAAAATAAAACAGTAAAATAAAATGTTTAAAAAAACCCGGGGGCTTCAAAGCGGGGAAGATTCCGCAGACAGCCGGCCCAGCGAAGGCAGTACTCACATGGATCTCTGCTGATGAACTGTGGCCCGGGGCTCTGCTGGGATGGAGGGGGATTGGGAGTGCCAACCAGCTTGTTCTTGGCCATTTTGGTGTTGGCCTTGGCAAACTCCAACCGCAGCGTTTGTGGGATTTCTGGATCAAACCGGACGCCCTGGGATCAAAGACAAGAGCATGAGTGGTCAGAGGGAAAACGGCTTCCTAGAACGGCATCGTTTCACAGAGCAGTTCAAAGAGAAAAGTTATTAGCTGCGCAAAACCACAGGAATGACTGTTAAATCATCACTTATTCATTTACACAAAATCCACTTTCTCCAAGCATTTCCAAGTACGACATCATGACTGTACACAGCGCGAGTTATAGACTGAGATTTGATGAAAGCCGTCGTCATGTTTTGTTATTTTCAGACTTGCTACTGCTTAGATGAGCTGGCTTCTTGGAACATTGCAAAAAGTCGGCCCTTGGGAATGACTGTCAGAGAGATTAGGGTTCACCGCATGACCACTCTTAATAAGGTTAACCATTAGTTTTGGCAATGCTGTGCTTTGGAGACCGTACCCTCTTAAATACATTGTGTTTTTCCTGACTTTAACCACTGAACTAATGACGCTGTTCATAATGACAGACCTCACATGGAGTTTGAAGGTTGGGTAGTTTCTTTACTTTTACTTACTCCATTCTGAGCACAAGTTGGTGAAATACTTTGGAATCTGGCAACAATATGGACTCTTTTGAATTGCCTGGGAATATCTACTTTGTTCAGAAAATGCCATCTCATTGTTATGTGTCAAAAGAATTACCAGGAAGTGTAAAAACGTGAAGCAGCTGAATCATGTTTAGCTTAAGGTGGAATGTAAAGTTATTCTAGTTCAGACGTGCAGTATTCGATGACACATGAAAACCGCATTATGTCACAGATAACTCCTGGTTAAGGGCCAAAAGGGGCCTCTCCACAATAACTACTGAACCTTGTGGCTGTAATGTAATATCAGACATCGAATCCTGTGTTTGGCAGGAGCTACAGAGAGAGCAATGTTCAAATCGAGCCATAAATACTGCTGAGGTGTGGGGATGAGGCTGCTGGGTGACTACTGACATACCAGGGGCCATTCTAAGCCTCGCCGAGGTATCAAGGGATTTGCCTACAATCATAAATGTTGATTGGAAAAAAGAAGAAAAAAGAAGATATTGACTTGGATTTAGGCGAGTTTGCTACAGATGTGGTTGACCGACAATGACCCACATTCTCTGCGATGAAAATTATATTCAACAGCTATTTGGAGCATTTACAAACTCACTTTTTAGCCCAAAAATAGACAAATATGACAGATGTTTTGTTATACACTCGGACATGATTTGTAACACTAGAAAGAGTTTATATACAGTATTTGATTATCCACCTCCAGAAATGTACGTACTGTGGCTTTAAACTAAAAGATAGAGTTTAATTATCTGAACCAGGAAGTCGCAAGATAATGTGCAATAATTCTGCTTATGTTAACGTCAGCTTTATCTGCATAGCGCATTTATAACAACGCCACTTTTTTAGGTGGTCTCGATCCGCTTCCAAACAAACTCTGGTCCAGGTCGATTCAGGTTTGAATACAACCGGTGTCGATCCAACACAACTCCAGAATACGTGCATTTTTTGGCCTTAACAAGCCGCAGACAGAAACTGTGAGGAATCAGCCACGCGTCACAGATGCTAACTATGCTGCTAACGCTACACAACAACAACATGAGCCGTGGGCAGACCTGGAGCAGCAGGAGACACTGTGCCTCCTTCAAATTTGGGCAGAGGCATATTTAACCCAACTTCTGGAAAAGTCACACAAGTGCGGCCCTTTTTCTCTAAAAAAGCAAACTTAGGCAGAGCAGACATGCAGCACGTACGAGCTCTACATTTTCTTCCATTTCCACATATTCTCCGTGAACTCTCGCTGTCCAAGCGCTGATCGTCACACGCGTCCATATGTTTATTAAAAAAGTTCACTTGCAAAAAGTCCAGGCTGAATACGAACCGTAGCAAAAGAAAAATGTTTGGTCCGCTTTTGGTTCAGACCAAGCAAGCGGAGCAAAGGACTTTTCTGGTCTGAATACGCTCATAGTAAGTATGTTTCAACCATAATACATATATTTAAAATTGTCCCCTTAAATTTGTCAGGCTCAAATTAATTAAATGCAAGATACAGAAAATCAGAAGAGAATATTGTTGTATGGATAAAACTGATTTGGCTTGATTTGGACCCAGGACAGCACATTAAATAGGCCTGGCTTAAACAGATCTTTTTTGTAATAAAACTTGAAATCCCCATCAAAAACCATCGTGACCAGCAGCGCAAATTATGAAAAAGACCATATTTACTTTTCACAAAAGCTCTACTCTTCTGCAATGAAGGCAGCGATTTGTTCAACCAAGCTCCGTGAATTAGTGAGACAGCGAAGTCTTTTTTATTCCACCAGGCCGCGTAAACAGCCTCTAATTAACCTCCTTTGATTGTCTATAAAACACAGAGAGATCGGATCAATGGAGAGGAGAGCGCTGGAGTTCTCTGCAGTAAAAAATGTGGCTTCTCTGTTGCAAAAAGGAGAGATGGGTCTTCTCATGGAGGGAGGAGTATTAACTGGGATATACAGGGGCTCAGAAGTCTCCCAGCCTCTGCCACTCTGAGATCTAATAAGAACATGTTCATAATGAGCAGTTTGAACACAGCCATCAGACTTTCACCTTGATTCGTGTAATCCTTTTAACTTCTTATACTTTTAATGATGCACTGAGTCACGTCAAATTCTAAGTGGGAGTGAGTTTCTCGTCCATTTCTACGCCCCACGCATGAGGAGTGTTGGTTAGGGTTCAGCTCGTTCACAGAAGGGCCTTAGTTTTAATAGAATTACAGCCGTTTCCAATTGTCAAAGGTCAGCGCGTGTCTTTTGAATGAAGCAGGCTTTTTTTTTTACAAGATAATATACTGTAACCTACAAGCAATAACATATAATTCATCATTTTGTAATCTAAATTCTATTAGTTTGGAACACTGTCTGAATCATGAACAAGACTTACAGTATGTCCACAGTTAAGACAGCTCTCAGTAAAATTCCTTTAAAGTAGCAATATGTAAGGTTTTCATGTCAAGTCATCATTAAAGGGCCCTAATCTGTCAAAAGGCATTAATAAACCATGTTCTTTTCAAATACTTCTTTAACTGATAACAGTAGTTCAGCCGAGATTAGTTTTACAGCTCAAAAATCTTCTAATTGTTTTCATTTCTATAGGTTATAGATTTGTTGTTGACAAAACTCTTGTCTATTCAGCTGTTATGGTCCCAGCTGGATTCGTCTGCATATCTGGCAACCTGAGTCAGGGAGAGTGGGAGAGGCTGCAGTACCACTTTTGGCCACATTTTTACACACTGCTGCTTAAACTGGGAAATTCTATGTTTTATCCTAGAGATTTAAATGAATAGTTTACATAAGAACATCTTATTCGACATGATCCAAGGAAGATCTGTGATTGGAAAGCTGCCTCATTAAATCCAGTTTTGGGATAAATACATTCCAGACATTGGCATAAATCTAAACTTACGAGCCCAAGCGGTGGATGATAGCGGGAAATGCATTCTGTGCTGCTGTTCCCTGTGTACGCGTGACTTGCGTGTGGCGTGCGAGTGGCGTTCTGTTTTCAGACTTTTGCAATACACCAGCACAAAAAGTCTGCAAACAGAGCGTGTGTACATGTTGTGCGGGCTTCCCACTCTTCCAGATCGACCCATAGATTGCCATCCATTTATCGAGAACTTCTGGCTCAGACCATTTCCATCCATCCATTTTCTTCCCTTTAATCCATTTCTGGGTCAGGGGGGTGGCAGTCAGAGATGCACCAGCCCCTCACTGACCCTCTGCAGGTGGTGAGTCCACAGGAGGACGGCTGCTCTCTGACTGTGAGCATAGCCTTGATCTTTCAGTGGGGGCTTTGGGCAAAGTGGGGTTAAGTGTCTTGCCCAAGGACACAACGACAGCAGTCATCAGTGGGAGTCGGTGGAGAAGGTGTAGAGGTGGGAAATCAGACCATTTCTTCAGGTTTAAAAGATTAAAAAGGGTTCCAAGCTTCTCACAAACAAATAAATACAATCAAGGATACACTACTGGACCAATGTAGGATTACTAACTCAATCTGAGATATAAGAGATTACACTGCCCACGACGATTATTTGCTTCTATTTCGGCACTTTGTAGTAATAATGTTAATAATTTAGGAGCAGACACCAATCCAGCTTCATCCGCCGCTGGGCTGTGGTGGCGCCCTCCAACTCACCCAAAGGAAATCTCAAGACATTCAACATGACATGGGACCATTTTTCAATTTATAAATTTAAAAGCTTTCAAAACCCACCCTGTCATAGACTTAAAACCCAACTAAAGCACAATATTTCATCTTTTCCGTTGCCTTTTAGCTGCTCTCATCCATCCTCTCTCTAACCGATATGCAGAAAGATGTTTACAAACTCTGCCTTATCACCATACGACCCCGGGGAACCAAGCTTCTTCCCCCCCCCAAAAAATAACATTCTCAACTTGTATTCCCAGCGAGCCGGTTCCAGAACAGCCTCACTATTGTTGGCACGAAAATCAGATGGAACCATTTCAATCCCTTTCTCCACTTGCTTTGTTTTGGGTCTTTGAAGCAGGTGCGCACGACACATCGGAAAAAGTTGACCGACTCCACTCGAAGTTGTCGCACTTTGGTGTTATGATAAAAGCCCGTCTGGTTCAGTGACAGCAGCCTCGGTTTTAAAGAAGCGTGGGCGGCGAGTTCGTTGGCATTAAACAAACAGCGGCAAATACAGACGTGTGTGTGAGGAGAAAAGGAGTAAAGCTCGCTATGGAGGACTGGTGTTCTGACTTCTAAAGGTAATACTGAAATAAGTTAGATTAAAATTAAACCCAAGATCAATATCTGCTTTTTTTCCACATGGGCCAAGAGCTAATTATCCTGTGCTGAAAGTTGGTGACCTTGCAGGATGCAGGGAGGAGCGGCGCAAGGGGAAGGCTTTGGTTCTGGAGAGGGCTGTATGCAATAGTCCTCGTACGCCAACATTTTTGGACTAATTGCTTTGTGTGTGCTTTTTCTAATCATAATAATAATAATAGTTTTAGACTCTTAAAGACCCTTGAGAGAAAAGAAAGCAAGCGTTAAAAAAATAACCAATAATTATCATGAGAATGTAGCTTAAAGACCTCCCTGGAGAATTGGGACTGGACCCTACGCACTGGCACCCATCATCGGGAACAAATGAGGGGCGCCAGGTTGGAAGTGCAAGTGTTGGGCCTTTATGGTGGTACATTCTCCTCTATGCAGGATGAATCTCAGCTGGTTATTGTGGCTTCTCAAAACCTTGTCCTTAAGCTTCTTTTAAGAGACAGAAGTACAGCCTTGAAACATGACAAGGTAATAACATTGCTATCATTTAGTCGTCTGAATCTAATAAGTTTCTAAGTCTGATGAGTGTGTGTGCAGTGAGAGGAACGCCCAACGCAGATACGCTGGCTCTGAATGTTCTCAAGGGCAGTGAGGGAAGTCCTGATTTTTGGGATTACCACTTTGGGATTATAAATCTGTGGTTTAGTGTTTTCTGTGTTCCTGGTGTTTATATTTCCATTTTGGGCTAAATTAGGACTGGCCAATCAGATGCATTTATTTGCGGGGGAAACTCCAGCTTAGAAACCATGTTAGCAACACATCTGCCCCTGCTACGGTGCAAAAAACACTCTCATAACAAATGCCCATATAAGGAAATTGGCTCCAGCTAGCTTATGGTCAAATCGGCTTCTTCCAGAATTCAGCAAAGACTATGGTGTTTTTTTTTCCCTTCTTCTCCATTTGTTTTATTCATTGCCCTCTTATTCTTGTGTTATATACTGTATGTTGATGTGTTGTTGTATCAACAATAAAAAAAAAAAAAGATGAAAACCAAAAAGCATGAGTCAGTCAGTCCTAACATACTGTACATGACTTTGAGCTTCCATATTCATTGTATCTATATAATCATTGCAAGTGGATGTTGTAAATAGATTTGAATATATTTTAGCTGTAGAGGGTTTAATACGGCTAAGTATGACCCATAGACTGTAAATAATAACAGATGTAGTCAGGTCTATCTCCGCCGTTCTAACTAATGGGCCAAAAATTGGGCTTTCATGGAGTGATTCAAAATGGCGGTGGGGGGTGGAAAATGTGAAAAAACACATCTGTGCATGTGTCAGCTGCACGAGCTCCATTCATTTAAACGAGTGACTTCTAAAGTCCACAGCGACTAAACTAGACTGGTCCAGAACACTCAGCATTGACACACATGTGGAACGGAGCTTTGGGCCAAGAGACACTTTTGGACCATCCTGTAAAGACGTTTTCCAGAGGTAAGAAGATGCTATATGTTAGCATTGGCTAATTCTTATTCCGGGTCTACCCCCACAGGCCCGGGGTGGTACTGCAGCATGTCAGCGCACGTCCTTTTGGCCACTTTTGAGCCTGGACCCGTCCACACTGGTATGGCCTTGATATTATGGCATTATCTCACACAAATGTACACAAAAACGCTAAGCAACTCATTGATTAACCAAAGGAATAAAATAATTACTCTCTCAACTATCAAAAAGATTTGTTTAAACATATTATTTTATCGCAATCATTTTCTGAAGGAATAAATCATCCCATCACACACCACTGGTTCTGGAGACGGGCCCAGTCATGCGTGTGGTGTTGTACTTGTAAATGCTTTCTCTTATGCACATCACAGACACACAACCCTTGCATCCATCTCCAGACGCACACACAGTTGCTGAGTTGGTAGAAGAGAAGAGGGCACGACACTTACGTTCAAGGCATTCTTAGCAGCCTCCGCCTCTGATCGGCTGTCAAAGCTGACAAACCCCACCGGCTGCGGAGACATGCAGACAGAACAAAAGACAAGAAAATGTGGTTAACGGCACAATACTGAGTCTGCACTTCTGTCCATGAGCGACATCCACATGCACCAGGGGGTTTGTTATGATATTCATCCCGTCCATCGTCTCCTGTTTACGCTGGCAGAACGCTCACCGGACACTGGCTTTTTACTCGAGTTCATCGTTCAGCTCCCCCGTGTCCAAATATGGGCAATATGTGAAAGGCGAGGAGCAGAGGAGAAACAGACAGACAAGGAAAGGGGGAAATGAAAGTATGAAGGTGGTTCCTATGCAAGCCTGTCACTCAGTAATCAGGGCATATTGATTTAGTGTATCGTGTCCAAAACAAGTCCATTAGAGCTGCAGCAATAAATCAAGTGTCAGAAACTGGAAAAATACTGCTCAACTTTTTTAAATGTCAATTTCACGACCACTTATGAACCACAGGGAAAGGAAAATAAGGTTTGGGAGCGCTTTGAGCCAGTCTGTTATTGCCATGTTTGTGGTTGGCTTCTGTATTACCTGACTATGGGTGAAAATGGGCGAAAAACTTACCAAAAATAATAATTTCTCATCAAATACAGAGCTGGCACAAACACGTAACTCCGCCCCTGATGTCATCGTACCACTATCTCATTACAGCCAGAGCCGTTTTCCGCCATTCTCCACAAATTATAAACATTTATATTAGTAATAATAATAATAATACATCGGGTTTACAGTATATGCCGCTTTTCAAAAACTCAAAGACGCTTCAGAGAGTTCCAGAGGTGAGGGGGGAGAGAGTTCCAGAGGTGAGGAGGGAGAGAGTTCCAGAGGTGAGGGAGGAGAGAGTTCCAGAGGTGAGGGAGGAGAGAGTTCCAGAGGTGAGGGAGGAGAGAGTTCCAGAGGTGAGGGGGGAGAGAGTTCCAGAGGTGAGGGAGGAGAGAGTTCCAGAGATGAGGGAGGAGAGAGTTCCAGAGGTGAGGGAGGAGAGAGTTCCAGAGATGAGGGGGGAGAGAGTTCCAGAGGTGAGGGGGGAGAGAGTTCCAGAGATGAGGGAGGAGAGAGTTCCAGAGGTGAGGGGGGAGAGAGTTCCAGAGGTGAGGGGGGAGAGAGTTCCAGAGATGAGGGAGGAGAGAGTTCCAGAGGTGAGGGGGGAGAGTTCCAGAGGTGAGGGAGGAGAGAGTTCCAGAGGTGAGGGAGGAGAGAGTTCCAGAGGTGAGGGAGGAGAGAGTTCCAGAGGTGAGGGAGAAGAGAGTTCCAGAGGTGAGGGAGGAGAGAGTTCCAGAGGTGAGGGAGGAGAGAGTTCCAGAGATGAGGGGGGAGAGAGTTCCAGAGATGAGGGGGGAGAGAGTTCCAGAGATGAGGGAGGAGAGAGTTCCAGAGATGAGGGGGGAGAGAGTTCCAGAGGTGAGGGGGGAGAGAGTTCCAGAGGTGAGGGAGGAGAGAGTTCCAGAGGTGAGGGAGAAGAGAGTTCCAGAGGTGAGGGAGGAGAGAGTTCCAGAGGTGAGGGAGGAGAGAGTTCCAGAGGTGAGGGAGGAGAGAGTTCCAGAGATGAGGGAGGAGAGAGTTCCAGAGGTGAGGGGGGAGAGAGTTCCAGAGGTGAGGGAGGAGAGAGTTCCAGAGATGAGGGAGGAGAGAGTTCCAGAGGTGAGGGAGAAGAGAGTTCCAGAGGTGAGGGAGGAGAGAGTTCCAGAGGTGAGGGAGGAGAGAGTTCCAGAGGTGAGGGAGGAGAGAGTTCCAGAGGTGAGGGAGGAGAGAGTTCCAGAGATGAGGGGGGAGAGAGTTCCAGAGATGAGGGGGGAGAGAGTTCCAGAGATGAGGGAGGAGAGAGTTCCAGAGATGAGGGGGGAGAGAGTTCCAGAGATGAGGGGGGAGAGAGTTCCAGAGATGAGGGGGGAGAGAGTTCCAGAGATGAGGGGGGAGAGAGTTCCAGAGGTGAGGGAGGAGAGAGTTCCAGAGGTGAGGGTGGAGAGAGTTCCAGAGATGAGGGAGGAGAGAGTTCCAGAGATGAGGGAGGAGAGAGTTCCAGAGGTGAGGGAGGAGAGAGTTCCAGAGATGAGGGGGGAGAGAGTTCCAGAGGTGAGGAGGGAGAGAGTTCCAGAGGTGAGGGAGGAGAGAGTTCCAGAGGTGAGGGTGGAGAGAGTTCCAGAGATGAGGGAGGAGAGAGTTCCAGAGATGAGGGGGGAGAGAGTTCCAGAGATGAGGGGGGAGAGAGTTCCAGAGATGAGGGAGGAGAGAGTTCCAGAGATGAGGGGGGAGAGAGTTCCAGAGATGAGGGGGGAGAGAGTTCCAGAGGTGAGGAGGGAGAGAGTTCCAGAGGTGAGGAGGGAGAGAGTTCCAGAGGTGAGGGGGGAGAGAGTTCCAGAGGTGAGGGGGAAGAGAGTTCCAGAGATGAGGGGAGAGAGTTCCAGAGGTGAGGGGGGAGAGAGTTCCAGAGGTGAGGGAGGAGAGAGTTCCAGAGGTGAGGGAGGAGAGAGTTCCAGAGGTGAGGGGGGAGAGAGTTCCAGAGGTGAGGGGGGAGAGAGTTCCAGAGGTGAGGGGGGAGAGAGTTCCAGAGGTGAGGAGGGAGAGAGTTCCAGAGGTGAGGGGGGGAGAGAGTTCCAGAGGTGAGGGGGGAGAGAGTTCCAGAGGTGAGGAGGGAGAGAGTTCCAGAGGTGAGGGGGGAGAGAGTTCCAGAGGTGAGGGAGGAGAGAGTTCCAGAGGTGAGGGAGGAGAGAGTTCCAGAGATGAGGGGGGAGAGAGTTCCAGAGATGAGGGAGGAGAGAGTTCCAGAGGTGAGGGAGAAGAGAGTTCCAGAGGTGAGGGAGGAGAGAGTTCCAGAGGTGAGGGAGGAGAGAGTTCCAGAGATGAGGGGGGAGAGAGTTCAAGAGGTGAGGGAGGAGAGAGTTCCAGAGATGAGGGGGGAGAGAGTTCCAGAGATGAGGGGGGAGAGAGTTCCAGAGATAAGGGAGGAGAGAGTTCCAGAGATGAGGGGGGAGAGAGTTCCAGAGATGAGGGGGGAGAGAGTTCCAGAGATGAGGGAGGAGAGAGTTCCAGAGATGAGGGCGGAGAGAGTTCCAGAGGTGAGGGAGGAGAGAGTTCCAGAGATGAGGGGGGAGAGAGTTCCAGAGGTGAGGGAGGAGAGAGTTCCAGAGGTGAGGGTGGAGAGAGTTCCAGAGATGAGGGAGGAGAGAGTTCCAGAGATGAGGGAGGAGAGAGTTCCAGAGGTGAGGGAGGAGAGAGTTCCAGAGATGAGGGGGGAGAGAGTTCCAGAGGTGAGGAGGGAGAGAGTTCCAGAGGTGAGGGTGGAGAGAGTTCCAGAGGTGAGGGTGGAGAGAGTTCCAGAGATGAGGGAGGAGAGAGTTCCAGAGATGAGGGGGGAGAGAGTTCCAGAGGTGAGGGAGGAGAGAGTTCCAGAGGTGAGGGTGGAGAGAGTTCCAGAGATGAGGGAAGAGAGAGTTCCAGAGATGAGGGAGGAGAGAGTTCCAGAGGTGAGGGAGGAGAAAGTTCCAGAGATGAGGGGGGAGAGAGTTCCAGAGGTGAGGAGGGAGAGAGTTCCAGAGGTGAGGGAGGAGAGAGTTCCAGAGGTGAGGGTGGAGAGAGTTCCAGAGATGAGGGAGGAGAGAGTTCCAGAGATGAGGGGGGAGAGAGTTCCAGAGATGAGGGGGGAGAGAGTTCCAGAGATGAGGGAGGAGAGAGTTCCAGAGATGAGGGGGGAGAGAGTTCCAGAGATGAGGGGGGAGAGAGTTCCAGAGGTGAGGAGGGAGAGAGTTCCAGAGGTGAGGGGGGAGAGAGTTCCAGAGGTGAGGGGGAAGAGAGTTCCAGAGATGAGGGGGAGAGAGTTCCAGAGGTGAGGGGGGAGAGAGTTCCAGAGGTGAGGGGGGAAGAGAGTTCCAGAGATGAGGGAGGAGAAAGTTCCAGAGATGAGGGAGGAGAGAGTTCCAGAGATGAGGGAGAAGAGAGTTCCAGAGATGAGGGTGGAGAAAGTTCCAGAGGTGAGGGGGGAGAGAGTTCCAGAGGTGAGGGGGGAGAGAGTTCCAGAGATGAGGGGGGAGAGAGTCCCAGAGGTGAGGAGGGAGAGAGTTCCAGAGGTGAGGGAGGAGAGAGTTCCAGAGATAAGGGGGGGGAGAGTTCCAGAGGTGAGGGGGGAGAGAGTTCCAGAGATGAGGGGGGAGAGAGTTCCAGAGGTGAGGAGGGAGAGAGTTCCAGAGGTGAGGGGGGAGAGAGTTCCAGAGGTGAGGGGGAAGAGAGTTCCAGAGGTGAGGGGGGAGAGAGTTCCAGAGGTGAGGAGGGACAGAGTTCCAGAGATGAGGCGGGGGGGGGGGGGGGGTGAGAGTTCCAGAGGTGAGGGGGGAGAGAGTTCCAGAGATGAGGGGGGAGAGAGTTCCAGAGGTGAGGAGGGAGAGAGTTCCAGAGGTGAGGGGGGAGAGAGTTCCAGAGGTGAGGGGGAAGAGAGTTCCAGAGATGAGGGGGAGAGAGTTCCAGAGGTGAGGGGGAGAGAGTTCCAGAGGTGAGGGGGAAGAGAGTTCCAGAGATGAGGGAGGAGAGAGGGGGGGGGGGGGGGGAGAGTTCCAGAGGTGAGGGGGGAGAGAGTTCCAGAGATGAGGGGGGAGAGAGTTCCAGAGGTGAGGGGGGAGAGAGTTCCAGAGGTGAGGGGGGAGAGAGTTCCAGAGGTGAGGGGGAAGAGAGTTCCAGAGATGAGGGGGAGAGAGTTCCAGAGGTGAGGGGGGAGAGAGTTCCAGAGGTGAGGGGGAAGAGAGTTCCAGAGATGAGGGAGGAGAAAGTTCCAGAGATGAGGGAGGAGAGAGTTCCAGAGATGAGGGGGAGGAGAGAGTTCCAGAGATGAGGGGGGAGAGAGTTCCAGAGATGAGGGGGGAGAGAGTTCCAGAGGTGAGGAGGGAGAGAGTTCCAGAGGTGAGGGGGGAGAGAGTTCCAGAGGTGAGGGGGAAGAGAGTTCCAGAGATGAGGGGGAGAGAGTTCCAGAGGTGAGGGGGGAGAGAGTTCCAGAGGTGAGGGGGAAGAGAGTTCCAGAGATGAGGGGAGGAGAAAGTTCCAGAGATGAGGGAGGAGAGAGTTCCAGAGATGAGGGAGAAGAGAGTTCCAGAGATGAGGGTGGAGAAAGTTCCAGAGGTGAGGGGGGAGAGAGTTCCAGAGGTGAGGGGGGAGAGAGTTCCAGAGATGAGGGGGGAGAGAGTTCCAGAGATGAGGGAGGAGAGAGTTCCAGAGATAAGGCGGGGGGGGGGGGGGGGAAGAGTTCCAGAGGTGAGGGAGGAGAGAGTTCCAGAGATGAGGGGGGAGAGAGTTCCAGAGGTGAGGGAGGAGAGAGTTCCAGAGATGAGGGGGGAGAGAGTTCCAGAGGTGGGGGGGGAGAGAGTTCCAGAGGTGAGGGAGGAGAGAGTTCCAGAGGTGAGGGAGGAGAGAGTTCCAGAGATGAGGGGGGAGAGAGTTCCAGAGGTGAGGGAGGAGAGAGTTCCAGAGATGAGGGGGGAGAGAGTTCCAGAGGTGGGGGGGGAGAGAGTTCCAGAGAATGGGAGCAGAGATGGCGAAAGCTCGGTCCCCTAGGTTTCGACGGGAGAGACTGTCGGGCTGTAGAAGTTTATGAACATTGGTCATTGATTCTCTGATCTCTGATTCGTAAAGTCCTCTGAAATAACTACTGCTGTGATTTAGGGCAATACAAGAATATAAAAGGTTAATTAAAATTGAAATAAATTAGTTTTGACAATTTTTCAGGTGAAACGATGTCCATTACAATCACAGGTCTGTGGTTGCAGCAAGTCGTTTTCAAATATGGAAGAAAAAAAACACACAAATTCAACTCCTCCCTCTGGTGGTAGCAGAGGGAATGGCAGGTGGATGCTTGACCGCCCATATGTTTTCGAATTAATTTTATATTCTAAAACATAAAAAAAAAAATACAATCACATTCATAATAGCCCAAAATAATGCATAATAATTCTTCTTATATGCACTGACTCTATAAAATAAATGAATGGGCAAACATTTCACCTGTGAACGTGCTTTTGACTGTTAACACCTATATATTTGTACCCTGTGTCCAACTGCGGCGCTGCAGAGTCACGCCTGCTCCGTAGTCAAACCTCTATATTCATAAGAGTTTTGAAATATATATAAAATAAGAGTTTGAAGACACGGTTAAGGCCATAGCTATGACTATACACAGAGAAGATGTTTTCCACCAGAAGGCTAAATTAAAACTTAAAAACTATGAATGTGTAAAATAAGCCTCGAGGTCATTTTTCTCCCACTCAAAGCTTTGAAACTTGTGCATTCAAAAGAAATCCCAATCCTACGGGAAAATGCATCGGGATTTTACTTTAAGAGCCTTAAGGAACCATCCCGCTCCAAAACCATGAATTTTATAGATTTTTTTTTAAATATCCGCAAAACTCAATCCGTGCTCATCGAAAAAATATGAAAGTCAGATTAATGAGATGAATGGTTTAATAACTAACAGAATCAAGGACGTTTTTTGAAGATATTTACACATTTTACCTGCATTTAACCCCGTTTTTATCGCCTCTAATCCTGCCTCTGTCCAGTTTTCGGCTTTTGATGTGGTCGCTGTGTGTTTGATTCAGAACAAAACCCCATCACATCAAACCAAGTCACTTTCACCTCTTCGCAAAACTTCTTTTGTGTTCTAACTTTTGTCGAAAACACAAAAAACCCCAAAAACACCAGACATTATGCCGCAGTGTTAGAAGAGAAAATGAATTCACTAAACATGCCTCTCCCACGGGTCACGCTGCTGCCTGTGATCTGCAAAAGCATCGCAGGGTTATGGGAATTTTGTGCAAGTGAAAGAGAAGAAAGAGAAGGAGACGGAGGAGGGGTAAAGACAACGGAGGGGTATGTGAAGACGTCAGGAGTCTACAAAGTATAAATAGAAAGGCTGCAGCTCTTGCTATATAAGGAAGTAACTGTGGTGGGCTTTGATTGAAAAGTGCAGAAAGATCAATGGATTTCAGGAGAGTCGTCGCTGCTTTCACAAGTGTTACTGGACCCTCAGACAAGAATGCAGTTTACAGTTAGAGTAGTTGACGCTGGAGAACCTGACTTTGGTAAATTAACATGTCCGCAACACTTTGATTGTTCTTTTTGCAGAGAACACATGACGCCTTTGTTCTCAGTATTAAACCGTCTGATAATGGTTAGAATCATGCTAAAAGTATTGATAGCTAATGGGGCAGGACAAGAGGACACACAGTTCTTTGCAATTGGCTTTTTAAGTTGTTTGGAGAGAATAGTTCCTAAACACAAAACTCATATAATAAGAACTGAAATACATATTCATTTTGAGTATTTTAAGAAGAAAATCTAAATATCTTGAAAAGTTATTAATTGCTTGTTTTGTCTTTTGCTAACCCCTGTGTCTTCTTTAGTTCTACTTCCTGTTCTACTTCCTGTTTGAGTACGTGCCCGCCGGCTCAGATGGTTTTGCTCTGACAAGAATGCAGTTTACAGTTAGAGTAGTTAAAGCTGGAGAACCCGACTTTGGTTCTGTTTCATGAATACATTTTGTTTGTGCAACAGAATGTGTTTTGTGGTTTAGGAAAATTCATCTTATTTGGTTCTTTCACCGGACAATAGTAGGTATATGTGTTTTTAGACTGGTATTGAAGCACTTTCAGCCTCTACAGCTAGTTATGTTAGCTAAGAAACATAGCTACTACTTATTTTGTATATTGTGTGTGATCCCTGTGTGCTCAAACTACTGTCCTGTCTGTGCGCTGCAACATTGAAGTTTCCCCACCGTGGGACGAATAAAGGAACTCTGATCTTATCTTAGGTTAGCGATAATAACCAGTGTTGGGCACGTTACTTTGAAAAAGTAATTAGTTATAGTTACTAGTTACTTCTCCCAAAAAGTAACTGAGTTACTAACGGAGTTACTCCACTATAAAAGTAACTAGTTACCAGTAAAAGTAACTATTGCGTTACTTTTTCGTTTTGTTCTGGAACATAATGTGTAAGTAAGTAAGTAAGTTTTTATTTATATACCGCCTTTTCACTGCAGATCTGAGTCTCAAAGCGGTTTACAATTGTTAATTATGGGCATTTGTCTCTCACTCCACACAGAGATGGGAGCGGGGCCAGTACAGGAGGCACATGCCAGAACTATTGGACATATTTTTAGTGGTAGGGGAAACCGGAGTACCCGGAGGAAACCTACGCAGACACGGGGAGAACATGCAAACTCCACTCAGAAAGGCCCTGGTCCGACCGGGATTCGAACCCAGGACCTTCTTGCTGAGAGGCGAGAGTGCTATTCACTCAGCCACCGTGCCATGTGCACCCGACGTGCGCATTTTTACCTTTAACAGTGCCAATATTTCCATCTAGAAAAGGCTGTTTTGCTGCTGAAGTCCTGTTCACTCTTCATCTCTCACTGTGCTGTAAAGCCCGCCACTGTGAATGTGGAAACACCGGTGGCAAGCGGTGAGGCTGGTGAAAGCACTGACTTCAGTCCAATCAGATGAACATATATATCATATAAATCAAGTGGACAGTTTGTTTGGCTACAGCAGAATACGTTTCATGCCCGCATTGTTTGTTCATACAAAACGCAAAACTGTGAGTTATGGGTCTTACCTTATAAATGACCTGCACAAGCCACTTCGGTTCGACCAGTTCCATGTTTAAGTCCAGATAATAGTTTGAGCGTAGATACGTAATCCTCCGTTTGGAAATGAGTCCAATGAGTTTTAAAAAGTAAAACAAAACGCGTGTGTCCTCCATAAACTCCTGTGTTTTGCGGCAGCCGGCTGCATCCAATTTCTAAAATCAACCGCGTTACACTTCACCTCTCTTTCTTATCATTCCTATAGTAATTGAAAAATTACCCTATGTGCATTTTAGATTATGTAAAAATGTGTTATATGTATGTTAGCCAAACCTGTTGCTGTCCTTAGCAGATAAACCAGGAAGAGCAAGGAGCTTATCAATGGAATTGTATGCAGCCGACTTCTGCGCTCTCATGCGCTCCTCTGTGGCTGACCTCACGGTGATACAAGCCGTGGATGAGCGCGATTAAGACCCATATTTGTTTCAAAAACACAATTTATGAGCCATCCTCTCAACTGTAGACATGTAGATTGTAAAGGAAATATGTTTTACATCAGCCAATAATTGCTGGGAGGTTTTCTCATCCTCCCTTCTCTCATGACAACACGTTCATTGTGCGTCTTGAGTAACGCGCAGTAACGGGATGTCGGAAATGATAACGGCGTTATAGTTACTGTCAAAGTAATTAGTTAGATTACTCGTTACTGAAAAAAGTAACGGCGTTAGGACGGGGGGTATTGGAGCTGGAGCTGAAGCTGAAGCTGGAGCTGGAGCTGAAGCTGGAGCTGAAGCTGAAGCTGGAGCTGGAGCTGGAGCTGCAGCTGAAGCTGGAGCTGAAGCTGAAGCTGAAGCTGGAGCTGAAGCTGAAGCTGGAGCTGGAGCTGAAGCTGAAGCTGAAGCTGAAGCTGGAGCTGAAGCTGAAGCTGAAGCTGGAGCTGAAGCTGAAGCTGAAGCTGGAGCTGAAGCTGAAGCTGGAGCTGAAGCTGAAGCTGAAGCTGAAGCTGAAGCTGGAGCTGGAGCTGAAGCTGAAGCTGGAGCTGAAGCTGAAGCTGAAGCTGAAGCTGAAGCTGGAGCTGAAGCTGAAGCTGAAGCTGGAGTGAAGCTGAAGCTGAAGCTGGAGCTGGAGCTGAAGCTGGAGCTGGAGCTGAAGCTGGAGCTGGAGCTGAAGCTGGAGCTGAAGCTGAAGCTGAAGGAGGAGCTTTTAAACACAGTGCTTTGTGTTCATTAACATGCAGAAAACTTGCATAGTCCACATTTTCCACATTGTAGCCGCTTTTCTCAATAACTGAGTGAAGTTGCAGAGTAAGGCTTCAGGGGCCAGTAAAAGAACAACAAAACAGCTGAACATTGCAGCGATAGATTTTTCCACAGAAAGACGTATACGAGGATAATAAATCATTTTACAACAGCTTTTTAAACTGCACAATGTCCAAATGCTACGGTTCTAACTGTAATATTAAGTCATTTTGTAATCAAGTAATATTATGGATGAAATGAAATATAGATGTTCAGCTGGAAATGTTTCAGAGCAAAGGTTTAAGACATGAATTATTTTATCTTCTTTATTTGTCTCTATATATATTGTGAAATGTATAAGCTTTTTTGTATTTTTTGTGTGCACAACATTGTGATCAAATATCAGTCGGTAAAAGTCTTTTTCATTATATGTATTACACTGTGACAAGCCAAACACGTCTTTTTGGAATATTGTATTTAAAATATTGTGAAATATTGTATTATATACAGTAATAAGGATTTTAGTATTATTTTTTACATCTTAAGACAAATCTTAAAGTTAGGGTTAAATCTGGTTTGGACACAGTTGGTTTTAACCCAGTCCAACCTGTAAACTGGTTTGGTATTTAATGTCCACAAAGCTAGCCAAAGCAAGCCAAACTGCTGTATACTGTGCAGACTGTGTGTACTGTGTGTACTGTGTGTACCGTGTGTACTGTGTGTACTGTGTGTATTTTGTGTGTACTGTGTGTACTGTGTGTACAGTGTATACTGTGTGTACCGTGTGTACCGTGTGTACCGTGTGTACTGTGTGTACTGTGCGTACTGTGCGTACTGTGTGTACTGTGCGTACTGTGTGTACTGTGTACTGTGCGTACTGTGTGTACTGTGCATACTGTGTGTACTGTGTGTACTGTGTGTACTGTACGTACTGTGTGTACTGTGCGTACTGTGTGTACTGTGCATACTGTGCGTACTGTGTGTACTGTGCGTACTGTGCGTACTGTGCGTACTGTGTGTACTGTGCGTACTGTGTGTACTGTGCATACTGTGCGTACTGTGTGTACTGTGCGTACTGTGCGTACTGTGCGTACTGTGTGTACTGTGCATACTGTGTGTACTGTGTGTACTGTGCGTACTGTGTGTACTGTGTGTACTGTGTGTACTGTGTTCTGACAAAGATCATAATATTTTCTAACTGCTGTAGTTCATATTAGTATTGATTATTTGGTGATGTTTGTCACTAACGACCGTTTATAAAACACAAACAATAGAGAAGTATGTTGTCCTGAAAACCTATACAGTAAAAAATATACTCATAATAGTCATAATACTGATAAAGAATACAGAAGAATAACAGTTCAAATGGATTCATTATCATTTCCACTCACACATTGCATCAGACGAGTCACATGTTCTGCTAAAATGAACTTAATTGGTCTCTTGGTGAAACAGAGACGTACTTTGTAAATTAAGCCATTGACGTATTTGTCCGAGACCCTCTGTTCCACTGGGGATCACAGGAGAACTAAAACAGCGAGAAACAAACTTATTTTTGTGGATGAAAGTAGACAATCCAGTCTTTCAGAATCTGCTTTCACATTTCACATAGTCTTAGGAAATAATATTCTGTGGGTCTTAAAAATCAGTGGAATCCTCAAAAACGGCAGCAGGCTCTCAACACTTTGATTGTTCTTACTGCAGAGAACACATGACGCCTTGTTCTCAGTTTCATGGTTAGAGTCATGCTAAAACACACACAACTAACAGTATTGATAACTAATGGGGCAGGTAAAGAGGACACAAGATTGCACACATCCATCCATCCATACATTTTCTTCCCCTTAATCCATTTCTGGGTCGGGGGGGGTGGCCCGAGATGCCACCCAGTCCACAGAGCACCAGCCCCCAGCTTGCACATATTTCTTTGTATTTTGGCTTTTTAAGTTGTTTGAAGAGAATAGTTCCTAAACACAAAACTCATATAAATAAGAAGTGAAATATATATTCATTTTGAGTATTTTAAGAAGAAAATCTAAATATCTTGAAAAGTTATTAACTTCTACTTCCTGTTTGAGTACGTGCCCCGCCCACATGAGTATCACCTCCTGTTCCGTCATTGCCTGTTTTTTTCCTTTTTTTCTATTTTTACGCTGGATTTAGATTTTGTCTTTGCTTTGATTGGAATTGTTTCATTCTGTCATGTGGCAATTAATAACAAAATAAAAATCAAGCATAAAATTAGAAAAAAGAAAAAAAACAGGAGACAAACACAAGAACTAAACAAGACATCGGGACGACAATGACGAAACAGGAAGTGAAGGACGACACCGGAAGTGAAGGACAAAACAGGAAGTGAAGGACAACACAGGGTTTAAATACAAGACTAACGAGACACAGGTGATACACATGAGGGCGGGGCAGGTAATCAAGAAACAGGAAGTAGAACTAAAGGAAACAAAACAGGAAATAAACCGTAAACCATGACATATTTGTTTATGGAAATTATTGAAGTCTTAACGTGTGATATCCTCAACAATGGCACATCTATGGGACGCCCAAATATGGACATCCCTCATTAACAAACACAGTGACCAAATTCACAAAGAGACACGTGCTCGTCAATCTCCCTCCTTTATTTCCTGAAGCTAAAACTCAAAACGCTTCTGTTCAGCTCTTGTCAAACACTTTCACGCCTTCAAAACGATCTCTCCTCGTGCACATCCCGCCGGGGTTTTCGACGCAAGCATCCCAGCGCCACAGGCAAGTCGGAGCAGCGCCTTCATCCCCCCCCCCCCGTCTGTAAACTTTTCCCAGTCTTTAGGTAACTTCCTGTCGAATGGCGCTAATCCCTCACAGTCAGAAGCCAGAGGGAGAGCAGGCAGAGGGAGAGGTGTTGATGAAGGAGGATGGATGTCGAACCCAGTGCAGCAGCGACGAGTGACGGCGGTGTGTGTGTGTGTGTGTGTGTGTGCGTGTGTGTGCGTGTGTGTGTGGGGAGGGGGGGGACGTACCTGTTTGGAAGTAAGTTTTATCAAGGAGCCTTCGTAGCCCTGCAAGAAAGAGAAACGTTGTGACATTAGAAACCCCTTACTCCACACAAGGATGTTACTCTACTTCTCTATTTTTTGTCAGTTAACTGATAAAATATAGCATTTAAACTCATTTAGAGTCAAATCAAACATTCTGGGAAGGGGGAATTTTTTTTTTTATAGGGCTGGAGCAGGTCCCCAATCTCATTTCCATTGATATTTGTCTGTGACGCAAAGATGAATTGTTAAAACCACGAAGTAGGTCGCTCTAGAATCAAAAGGATCTTACCCCCAGACACCACCTATGCTAAAGTATCTACCATGAAATATATCCCTGCAAATAATTTCTCCCACTCATAATTAGAGTAACTGCGTCAGGTTCTCAGCTTTCGTGTTGACAATTCCTCTCTAAAGTACCGAGTCTGAGTATGATCCAGACTGTTGTGACCATTGGTTAATCCATTATCCTGTGAACTAATAACTCTTAGATATTTTGTTTTGTGTTCTAATTTTGATCAACAATATTGTGTCGCCCTTTGAGACGACTGCTGTTGTAATATCAGGTTACACCAAAAAATGTTCATGACACTATCATTTCTACCTCAATTTCTATAACAGGGAAAACCCATTTAATATACAAATATAAATACATCTATTTTAATATTTATCAAGTTCTTATCAATGTGTGACTGTGTGTTTCTTTACCATCTCAAGTATCTGTATCTAGTTCACGATCTGGATATGGATTTGTTCAACTGCATTATTACTGAACTACAAATATTATGAGCAAGAATTTAGCCATTCTTTCAGTTCCCCCAGCTAAACTCGTAACAAAAACTAAATGGGGTGAACTGGAGTTATCTGGGTTAAATGTAGAAAATTCATTCTGTCTTCTTATGTTTATGGCTTTTAGGTTCTTCTAATAAGACAATTAAAGCAAAACAAAGCTAGTACTGCTTAAATACCTGACATGTTTCGGTGGTATGATGAAGGCGGAAGTGTACCGCCGAAACATGTCAGGTATTTAAGCAGTACTAGCTTTGTTTTGCTTTAATTGTCTTATGTTGTATATTTTAACTATGCAGATGTGAATATTGGCTGACCCTGATTTGAACTGTCTTTTCCTAAAGCAAAAAGACCTGGTTTCCCCATGTTCCTTTGTTAGTCCAAAGTGCATGGGTGAGTTAATGATAGGTAATCTGGGGGGGGATTCTGCTAATCCTGAAGGAGGGGGACCCAGAGAGCCTTCTGCCTTATCTCAAAGAAGTAATAAATTTGGGGAGTGGTAGTGTGTGTGAATGATTCTGTTTAAGGTACGGCAGACAGAGGGGACATGATGGAAGAGGCCGGACCCAAGTCCTGCCTGATACGACACGCCCCCTGCTTCCTGAACATGGACTGATAATGCTCTGGCTTGAGAGGACACAAGAGAATGAGCCGAGGGCGAGCCAGGGACATGCATAGTTTTAGGAGCCCTCTTTGTTGGAATTTCTGTATCTGATTGTAAAGATAATTAAATACAGATGTTAAAACTTGGAGATCTGTTGTCATGCCTCTGCATCAACTCGAACACGTCAGTCAAGGGAATTATTGACTTCATTTGGTGACCCCGACGTGATGGTGCAGGGGAAAGACAGAGATGAGCTCAAATATAGACTGGGTCCGTGGGCCGGGAGAATTCTCTCTTCTCTTCTCTCTTCTCTTCGAAAGAGGTAAGCGGATCGTTACTTTTGAAAATCTGCACATTGTTTTAAATGGAAGAGAGAGAGAGAATTCGGCTCGACGGACTGCAGCGTGGCCAGGCGACCGCCGTGATGGGCGTTCTATCGGACGCGATAGAACAATAGTCAGGTTTAGACGTTTTAACCTTGGGGGAAGCATTGGTCCCTCCTTGAAAAACAGAACAGATGATGAAAAGAGCCACAGGGGTATAAGTGCAAAAGAGGCACAACTGTTTAGATAAATAGGATTAGAGAGATAGGGATAGTTAGGGTCAGAAGTTATAGGATAATAAAACCTTCTATATTCCCCGGGGGCGGGGAAAAGGGCACAATTAATTTAAACAGAAGAAAAGCCAAGTATTTAAAATGTGGATTCTGATAATAATGATCTGATTAATGAGGAAAAAGAGAGCCTCTTGGCTGTAGTATACGAGTTTCATGTGAAGAAATGATCAGTTATGGAAGTTTTTCTCTTATTCTGATGTAATGTTTAATAGTCACAGAGAATCAAAAAAAAAAAAAAGAGATTCTGCTGGGACTATTACTCATGTAAGCAAATAGTAATGTTTTCCATTACTGACGTATTTAAGGATAAAATGTAAAGTGTCGTTTGACGTGAGAAAAACTTTTACCACTGATTTAGAACCTTGTCACGAGAAAAACGAGAAAAGTATTTGACTCCATGCTTCCTTTGTTCGGGAGGCCCCTCCCCTCCCTCGTTCTGTCCTCTCTCTCTCCCCTCTCTCTCTCTCTCTCTCTCTCGTGAAGAAAGAATTTTTTGTAGAAAATTACATTTATACACACGATAATGTTACTGACATGGAGTCATAGGATCACAGAACTTTGAGTTAGATTATAAAGAGGCATTATTTTATTTTTTATCTCCAAGGCGTCTAGACAAGTTTTTTTTTCCCTACATTTTGGTGATATAAAAGTTAGAATGATCTTAGAGAGCATTATACTTTTGGAAAAATAGGGCTTAGGATAGTAGTTGAATGCAGATTTGGTTTTCAGAATTTAATGTTTAAAATGTTAATAGTAATTATTTCATAGGTTTATTTTGAATTGTAATTAATCATTGGTTTGGTATGGTAATTAACACACTTGTTTGTGTTTCTTGTTTGTCTGTTTTTTCCGAGAAAACTTCTGTCTGTTTCATTTGGCCAAAAATCGTCCCTGCCACAAACCACAACCGAGCATCATCATCATCATCAGCGTCTCCCCCAGACCCACAGGGGGCACCAAAGACAGCAGCATCGGCTGCAGCAGCTAACAGGAACTCTCGAAGAAGACTTCTCCTGCCTGTGAGGAGGCAAAGAAAAGACCGCAGACTTTTTCACAAACTGAGTGTTGTCCCATCCACGAAACAGAAGGTGGCGGTAATGCGAAGAATAGGCCGCCAACCGCCGGAAAACCAAACAAGAAGAAGAAGGACACGACACATTTGGGTGCGTCAGATATGAAAGAAGAAGAAAGACATTATGAGGAAAAGTTATCGGAAGAAGAAAGAAAGTGATTGTTGAAAGAAGAAGAAAGACATTGTGAGAAAGAGTTATCGGAAGAAGAAAGAAAGTGATTGTTGGAAGAAGAAGAAAAAAGACATGGAGACAAAGACATTGGACACTATGAGACAAAAGACATTGAAAGACGCCATGAGTAAAAGAAAGACATTAACGGACATTTGAGACGTGGCTGGCCTAAATGAGACACACAGAAGGTAAATATACAGACAGACAACAAACGCACAGAGACATATTAAGTCATATTTACACATTTAGCTAGGTCATTCGTTCATAACACCACATTTAGCTGCATGAAAGAATACAGGACAATCGTTAAAATTAATTAGACTCTTGCTTTAGCATGAGACACAAGGAGATTAGAACAGCAGTATATTTAAAGTAGAGGAGCTCTATTATTGAAACTAGTATTATTTAAAGTTTATAGACGCGGAGAAGTTTAGAATTATTGATTTTGACTGCATGATCTTGGTAATACGGATATTTAAAGCAGTGTTTTCAACCTCTGAACCGTGGCTCGTTTCTCATTTAAGAACAATCACATGCACAGATGAAACTGGTGCTAGGAAGAGAACTGCAGCTTTTAATGGACGCTGCATTTAGTACAAAATGGTTTGTTCAGACAATTAAAGTTTGAAAAATGATTTAAAGCATTTCTGAATTTTGGCTAAAGGTGATATTGGATCATTTCTGATAACACATAGACGCAACACTGTTCATTGGTTGAAAACAAAGATGTAGGGACATTTTTTGAAATCTTTTATGACATGTTTCTCTTCCAAATAGCTAAATTAGAAACAATTAGGACAATTATGTCTTTGATATAACTGTTGGCCGTTTATCTGAGACATGATTGGTGCAAGTACACACACATAAAACAATGGTCTTTTCTCCACATGAACGTGAAACAAAGGTGAAGTATTAAAGTTTGAAACTAATTTACATTTTTAAGGAATCCGAACTGGCTTTAAAAAAAAAAAAGGGAAAAACATTTATTGCACGTGCATGAGTTTTTTTTAGTAACAAGAGCTCATTAAAAATATAGGGGACACAGTTTGTGACAAGCCCGAGTAAAGACCACGTGGTTTAAACACTAAAGTTTGAAATGGATCCTTTTAGGAAAAATCTCTCAAAGCTTTGCATGTTCTGCAGGCTCTGAAAGTTGCAACTATAAAATAGCTCATGAGACAATTGTAATTGGACATGGAAAAATATAACAAAGTTAAAATTACAGGCCTCTTGTGTTGTCTATATGTTTGTGTATGTTATATGTTTGTGTATGTTATATGTTTGTGTATGTTATATGTTTGTGCGTCATGTCCAATACACTACGTTGACCTTAACAAACTGGACCAATACTAACGTGGGGTGTTGTGAGTGTGTTGTGAGTGTGTTGTGAGTGTGTTGTGAGTGTGTTGTGAGTGTGTTGGGGAGTGAACGAGGAGTGCTGAACGGAGAATGGAATAACAAAAGTTTTCTGTAATGTTTTAATGTGATCATGGAATAATTATTTTTTGTCAACAGCATACGGTGTAAGTACTAGAGATTCAAAGATGACAAGCTTTATTGAACAGGTGTAAAAGTGAGAGTACTCTGGGATGAGTACTCTGAGGAAAGTACTCTGAGATGAATACCTTGCTGAAGGTACTGGGAGCCCCTCCCTCTGCTGTTTGTCCTGACAGTGATTCGGTCCAACCGCAGTGAGCGGTCATTGGGCGGAGGACAACTTTGGTTTGTAATTCACATTTAGGGGAGTATAAAATTAGAAACATACATATTGTTAAGTCTGTATTTGGCTACAGCCTCTGCCCTGATGCCACACACCGTCTGTCAATGCAGTTATGTTTTGCCCAATTGGATTGATTGACAGGCCGCACCATGCGAAGAGAGGAAAGTGGGCGTTTCTTGTGTTCTAATGTTTGTTTTTCAGATGAAAGATAAACTGCACCTGCTTCAGGGATAACACAGTAGTATGGATCATAAGGAAAATGAGCCTCTACTTTGGCACCAAAGCCCACAATATGAATTGAGGACGATCCGGGAGGAACAACTGAAGATGATTGGAACAGTAATCTACACACACATACAGATGCATGTTTTATACTTTGGACCACGACCAACAGAGGGAGTATAGTAATGTTATTGTCATAGGTGGTCATGGTCCTTAACCTTCTAAATCATTAGAAAGAAGTGTAAAACATATATTTACAAGAACAAATAAATAATAGAAAGGGCAGCCTAAAAAAGCAAAATGGGAAAATTATTAAGTAATTTTCGGAGTTGCCAAAATGAAATAAAATTCTATATTTGTCCCATAGGGGGTCATTCTAAATTTAGTGTTGTGCAAATTTAAAAGGAGAAATAATAGCGCTTATAACATCAAACAGATCTACTCTTTAAGATAATAGATCATATAATAATAAGATAATAATAGAATAGAATGAAATAGTCTGGAGCTATAATGTCATTGGATTCAAGGAGCTATAGGTTGAAAGGTCGCTAGGAAGAGGTGTCAGAATAAACAATAGTAATAATAGTTAGACTAGTGAATAATCAAAATAGTTCTATTGTGGAAATAAGTATCAATAAGGTCAAATTGTTCTAATAACTAAAGTAAAAAGGAATCAAATGGAGTCAGATTTTAGATGTTTCTGTTTTCCACATCTGTAGGAACTAGTGCAGATGTGTTTATAGAGAGTAGTATTAAAATGCAGACATAGAACAACAGGCTTTAACACAATTTTAAATCTAAAAATAGCTCAAATATAACATTGCTCTTGATGCAGCCTCTGAGCTGCTCCATTGGAGAACAGGTTAAATGTTATTGTTTATTACAAACAGCTGATGTATTTACACATATTAAGTTTGGGACAACTCTTTAAACAGTTATAAGCAGCGGACAGAAGCCATGAATGTGCTTTTGTTTATTAAATAATTAATTTCATAGCCATATAATCGTAGAGAACGGTTTTAAAATAGTTCTCTTCCTCCCGCTCCCTTTCAGGCAAATTGAATAGATTCATGTTTTTAATATTGGAGAACGACTGTGTTGTTTTTGGAATTGTCTGAAATACAATACATAGAATAGTGATTTGCAGAACAAGAACCAGCCAATGAAAAATCGTCTATTGCCAATGCAATTGTTACAATCAGAACTCAAAAATTGGGAATATGCTTTGGCTCAAACTACAACCAAGATTTGGAGTCACAATAGAGTGTAAAATAGATAGATGCTTTCAAAAATAGAGATTATTTTTAGACAGGGCCAATATCAAACGGTAAAAAGACCATTTCCTTCATATTATGTCCAAAAGTAGTTACTTCAAAAGTAGATAATGTTCATGAGTGTAGCCTAGATTAATGTAGCTTAGATTAATGAGATAGATTAGAACCAACAGAGATTCAAAAACATTTAAAAGCATTTTGGTTAATTTGAATATAGCACAAAAGTAGATATTTAGGTATTTTTGAGAATTTTAAGAGCTGTCGATTTGTCAGCAACAGATTAGAGAATCAAAATACCGTTGTATAGGGACTGACCCCAGAGAAACCTGCTAAAATAGATTAGCTCCTGTAACGATAATACCAATTTGATTAATGATGAAGAATCAGAATGACACAGCGGTGGTCATCAAAGAGTTTTGTGAAGGAATGTTTCGAATGTGGTTGTGTGTTGTATTCTTTCTGTATTAACTCTTCACAGATATCAAGCCGGAACTAAGCACAAGTATTGATGATAAACGACGATGTGGATTGTGACCTAATTTTTTAATCAGGTCAAAAGAGGGAAACTGTTGTATATTTTAACTATGCAGATGTGAATATTGGCTGACCCTGATTTGAACTGTCTTTTCCTAAAGCAAAAAGACCTGGTTTCCCCATGTTCCTTTGTTAGTCCAAAGTGCATGGGTGAGTTAATGATAGGTAATCTGGGGGGGGATTCTGCTAATCCTGAAGGAGGGGGACCCAGAGAGCCTTCTGCCTTATCTCAAAGAAGTAATAAATTTGGGGAGTGGTAGTGTGTGTGAATGATTCTGTTTAAGGTACGGCAGACAGAGGGGACATGATGGAAGAGGCCGGACCCAAGTCCTGCCTGATACGACACGCCCCCTGCTTCCTGAACATGGACTGATAATGCTCTGGCTTGAGAGGACACAAGAGAATGAGCCGAGGGCGAGCCAGGGACATGCATAGTTTTAGGAGCCCTCTTTGTTGGAATTTCTGTATCTGATTGTAAAGATAATTAAATACAGATGTTAAAACTTGGAGATCTGTTGTCATGCCTCTGCATCAACTCGAACACGTCAGTCAAGGGAATTATTGACTTCACTTATTAGAAGAACCTAAAAGCCATTATCTGGGTTAACTTGATATTAGTGAAGAGTCCTAATTTTTCTTTCTGAAACCTGTGGAGACAAACTATACTTATATTTTTCTTGGACTCAATATCTTAAGCGTTCCCTTCTCAACCAAAGCATTCTCAGTTCCATCCAGGTTCCACATTAGGGCACTGCTCAAAATCAATCAAATAATATCCTCTCCTCTAAAACATCATAACGTTAGCCACAAAAACACTGTAAAAAACGCCTGGAATGTTGGACTATGACGTTATGAAGTTGATCAGACTAGAAATGAATGCGTTGAGCTAGTTTTACATAATAATTGCAGGTTCAAAATTAAACCGGTCTGACATTCTTGGCATAGACCGCCTAAGCCATGGTTCTTCAGCACTAAATGAATACCATATGCTCCGTATTACTGCGTCTTTACCTATTATCTTATGGATTTACGGCTGTCAACACTCAAGCTACAAGCCGTTACTACCACTCCGGCATTATCGCAGTGGGCGCTTCGATGCATAGCAATTGTTCCATTATTCATCTAAAACTCGCTGCTCCCGTTTCCATTAAAAAGCATTTTGTCAGTGGCAGGTGTCCAGAAAAGCTTCCTTCCTCCTCAAAAGGCAATGTGTTTTTTTGTGTCATACTGAATCTCAGGTCAAGTGAAAGGGGACTGTTTCCATGATGCTTTTCCGGATTTAAAACAAGATTGAACTTGGGCCTAAGAAACAGATACTCGAAACCTCTGAGTTTTGTTTTGTTTTCCATTGCCGTTTATTTCATCACCATTAATGGAGGTCCGATTGACTGGTGGAAAGAAAGCGGCGTGTCTAAGAATAGCAAGCGAAAGCCCTGATCCGTTTAAAACATACAAACATACCTTAAATGGTCTGAACAGGAGGTAGAGCTCGCGTGGCTTAATGTCCAGAGGAAGCCCACTGACGAATAGAGTCCGGACCTGCGAAAAGACAGGGAGGACGGAAAGATCATGTATTTTTCATTAACCTCCACCAGTTATAAATAGCTGCCTTGATAGTGACAGAAACAAATGAGATGAGGAGCGAGGATACTGGATGAAGGAGCCGGATTCAAGGCTTTGCAAGGAGGGGTGATATTAACGAAGAAAGGAGATGTCTGCATAATTTCATAGTGATTCGGAAGCAAAAATGTTGACGATAATGATAATAATGTGTCGGTTTTATAGAACAATCTTTATAGGCATAGATTTTCAGGTGACTCAAAGACGCTCCATACTACTACTGTAGCCACAACCGCCCTGGGGCACACTGACAGAAGCGAGGCCCCTCCCACCACCACCAACCATTCACACACACACACCAGACTCATTCTAATGTGGGTGAAGTGTTTTGCCTAAGGACATAGCAACAGTTTGGCACTTTACAGACGCTGCGGCAGAGGTCTCCCATCACAGTGCTAACCAGGCCCTGCCCTGCACAGCTTCACAGGTCTGACGGGATCTGGCTTTCACATGCGAGATAGTTTGAAAGAGGAGGCAAAATTCAGACAATAATGTGTCAATGTTTCGTCTTCTCAGCCCATGACTGCTGTTAACTGGGCCAATTATTTCACTTTACCACAAAATTGCTTTTGAAGAGACGCTAAATACATAACACTATCTTTATGCACAGACAGAGAGAAAGAAAGAGCCCTGTCAGTCACTTTTTAACTATTTGGGCTGAGAGCAGTTTGGCTAAATCGGGTGGTCCTCTCTAATTCACTTTTCTGTCTGTTTTAGAGCCTTCTCTCCTCTAACATCCATTGTTGTCGATTTAGTCGGTTCGAAACTTTTGAAACAGATTTGTGCAGAATTTTCTCCTGAACCAGACTTGGTCCAGTTTGAACGGCGCTTGTTGCTTTAGATCAGGAGTCTCCAACCTTTTCCAATCAGAGAGCTACTTTTATACAGAAGAGGCAGAGAGCTACTCCCTTTTGCAGTCGTAATAAAAATCTATGTAATTATAACGACAAAAGAGGACACACATGTAAAATACACCATAACACTGTACAACCTTATATTTATACTAATAATAGACATAATGACTACAAATGTATTAATTAAAGATCATTTGTTAAACTCTAAATCCTTTGGGGAGCTACCTGAAAGGGGCTGGCGAGCTACTAGTAGCTCCCGAGCCACAGGTTGGAGACCCCTGCTTTAGATTCAATGCCACAGTGGGAAATGTCAGTGTTGTAGCGCACATACAGGACTGAAGAAGGAGCTCTCAAATAAGAAATATTTCCTTTTGAGTTTTTTTTTTATACTTCCATTGGTCAAAATGTCCTAAATCAAAAACATAACAAGGCAACAATTACAGTAAAGAAAATAAGAACAATAGAAAAATCTTTCCTTAAAGTTATTAAGAGATCCTCCATCCTTTATCTGTCCCACAGCGGGAGATTCATGGACGAACCAATAACGTGTCGCCCAAAGACTATTATTATTAATGGCCACGGGGGCTGGAAAATGTGAAAAAACACATCTGCACGAGCTCCATTCATTTAAACGAGAGACTTCTAAAGTCCACAGCGACTAAACTAGACTGGTCCAGAACACTCAGCATTGACACACATGTGGAACGGAGCTTTAGTCCGGAGTCAACTTCTGGACCATCCTGTAAAGACGTTTTCCAGATGCTATATGTCAGCTGATGCTATATGTTAGCATTGGCTAATTCTTATTCCGGGTCCACCCCCACAGGCCCGGGGTGGTACTGCAGCATGTCAGCGCACGTCATTTTGGCCACTTTTGAGCCGGGACCCGCCCACACTGGTATCGCCATGGTAACACAAGTAACTTTACAAGGAAATTACCTTCGGAGCTCAACTCGACTAAGCGCGGACATTCTAACTGTATCTCCATATTTCTAAGAATACACCGGCGTGTTTTAGATCTCCTTTAACAGATTTATTCAGATGCATATGTTTCGCTGCTCGCCTCTCTCCAGTGTCTTTGGGCAAAACATCCCGGTTTCAAAGCAAGTGCCTTCATCGTGTGTGTGTGTGTGTAATCTATAGCTGCCTGAGTTTTACGGCCGTCCTTTACATTCTGAACTTTTCAACTTGCAGCTGGAGACGGAGTTGTGGAGAATTACAATGTTTACGTTGTATTTATAGTCTGTGCGATGCCACCTGCTGCAGCCTTCAGGGCGGTGTTGATGCTATCGTGGCTGGAACGTTTCACACTGAGGCTTTAAGTGTGTCCAGTATAGCAGCAGCAGCAGCAGCAGCAGAAGAAGAAGAGGACTTTATCTCATCGTGTGTCCTCGCTCGGTGAGGAAGCGTGGCAATAAATAATGGATTGTATTTGGCATTCCGGTTATTGGTATGAGTGGTAAATGGTAATACTTCTTTTCTTTCCCAGCTCGCCCAGCCCTAATCTTTACAACTCATGCATTGATCCAAACACTAAACAAATAATAACTGAGCCAATTGAGCGGTGTACAACCAGTTCAAACTTATAATATATGTATTACTTAATGATTAACGTATCATAATTATTCAGATATTCACCTAAAAACCATGATTATCTTTTGTAATATTCTACTTTCTCTTTAATGCCACAAAAATATATATGATAGAGGTAAAAGAGATAGATACAAGTAAGGAAATATTGATTGACAAATAGGGATTGAATGTCTTAATTATGTCCCTATATGTGTAAAAAAATCCAATAATTAAATAATCAAAACACACAGATCTGAATCACATTTGGATTTAGTTATAGACTGAGCCAAACTAGTTTTTTAATCTAATTTGTAGGAGCACTAATAGGATAAATAGTTAATGTAGGTTAGTTTTTAAGCCATAGTTTTTAGGCCTCTACAAAATGATTGAAGGTAAAAGTGCCTTTGACCACGGTGGAAAAGACGCCCCAGTGAGTTACATTTCTGTTCCAAACTTCAAGAATAAAGTGGCTCAAAAAAACGCCACTTAAAACGTAAACTTTTTTGACCCTAAAAGGTTAAAAAAGGTTTAAAATCACAGGAGCAAACGAAAATCGTGCAACCAGACGGAATAATGATCAGTCGAAGCCCTGAATAATATGCAAATATGAAAGTATACGTTTATACTTTAGGCAAACAGAATATATAAACGATTGTTGTCTTTGGGTAGAGACTCACACAGGGAACGGCAACAAGACTGCGACGCCAGACAACAGACAAAAGACAAAAGAAAACTAAAAAGTCATTGAAGGTGCAAAGCAGGTGAGGTCTGTCAAGAGAGGAGAGATTTCCTCACTATCTAAAACTAACATTTGCACATTGGCAAGGCACACATTCCCCACAGAAAAGATACAATACAGCTGTAATCTGGACGAAACTTGGCTTGACCCTAAAAAACGGTGAAAAAGTTCAATATTGTGGTGGAGAGAAGCCAATTTTCCAAAACACGCTACTTTTAAACTACTGTCAACCATCTGTAAAGAGGTGGATTATGATTAATTTAATGCACAGGCGTCAAAGTCAAACCAACGAGACCATTTCCAGTGGCCCCAGAGACGAATCTAAATGATTATATTAAATAGCAGCATTGATGGTATTAGGCGCATGTTATTCATTACTAAGAAAACAACCATAACATTTAATTCCATAAGAAATATTAAGCTAACATGTAATTATAAGTTAGTATTATAATGTTATGTTTTTTACCAGTTTACAACTACATTTCAAGGAGGATTTTCCAATTTTCTCGGAAAGAACCGCCCTCTCCACTTCTTGAACAAATCTCTCTGGTCTGATTGGACGAGCACAAATCACCAGAATGATTGACACCTGGGAGGACCAATAGTCTTGATGATTCACACAGAAGTAGAAAATCTTCCTCAACACCTTAAATAACTAATTCTAATCAGAAAAGAATAGCCAATCCAACTAATGTGAAACAAGTCATTTATTTAGAGACCTTCATATTATAAAAAAAGTATAAAAAATGAAACCCACTGCTTCTTTTGGACCATGAACGGCCCTTTCTTTTTTTTTCAGCCCTCAACCAAAACAAGTTTGACACCCCTAATTTACTGCATAAATGAAACGAAGGAGGTGAAAACACTTGTGGCTGTTTGGAGCAGAGGGCGAGAACCAGAGCCAAAGGAATCCACGGAGAGTTTCACCATTTGATCACAGAGACGCATTACTAACTCTACAAATATTTGATAAGACGCACTAGCACGGCAGCACGGACACGTTATTGCTCTTTGTCAAGTTCAATGAATGCAGCGTTAAATAATGTGAGCGGAAAATATGAGATAAGAAAGATACAGATTTGAAGGAGAACGACAGAAATAGGGACCATATATGGTTAAAGCTGGGGTAGGAACTTTTTATCCTTAAAGACCTTATGCCGGGTTTGATTTATTTAGAAATACAGTTTTAATACCATTCTATATTAGAAGAGAACTACTAAAGGTTTCAAAATCAGTTGTTGTTTTTTTGTCTGATCCCCCAAATCAAAATAACCCCATAGCAACGCCCTTAGAAACGAAAAAACTTCACAGCCCTTGGTGACGTCAGAGTGGGTACGTTTCAACGCTGTAAGTTGTTTACAATTTGGTATTCGTTCTTTTTTCGCGGATATTCAAGATGACAAGGCCGTGTACAGCGAGTCTGACATAAATACTAGATTGTAATCTTTCGTTGTGACTGAGGCTGAGTTTACACGGAGACAATGTGGCAGTAAAACGGTATAGTTGGATGTCGGTTTCTACCAACCGTTCATACGAAGACTGTGTTCCAGGTGAAAACGTAAGTGTTCAGATCCAGCCTGCAGAGTGGGACAACTCAGAAACGCTGCACAGCGGGGGCTCTTTCACACCCGCGAGAGGGAGAAAGGTGTGAAATCCCCTCTGCTCTGACCCCCACCTCCGCGCTGCTCCCGCACGTACATTTGGACATGCGCAGTAGCGGAGAACAAACATCAACAACAATGGCGGCCAGTAAA